CTCTTACAGAGATTAGAGGACTGGGTTGGAGTTGCTGGCACCGCCCTAAGTTGGTTTAGGTCTTACCTTGAGGACAGGAAGTACTTTGTGGAGATTGGAAACTGTGTCTCAGATAATATGGCCCTGACCTGTGGAGTACCACAGGGGTCGATCCTGGGACCTCTTCTGTTCAATCTCTACATGCTGCCGTTAGGTCAGTTAATACGCAGAAACGAAGTGTCCAATCATAACTATGCAGACGACACTCAGATCTATGTCTCACTGACTGCAGGAGAACATGGACCAGTGGACTCACTCCTTCACTGTATCCAACAGATCAGTGAGTGGATGCAAAACAACTTCCTTCAGCTAAACGCAGACAAAACTGAAATGATTGTCTTTGGTCCCCAGAAACAAAGAGAGAGCGTCATCTGTCACCTCCAGTCTCTCTCCCTAAAACCTTCAAACAAGGACAGAAATCTAGGGGTAATACTGGACTCAGACTTAAATTTTAATAGCCACATCAAATCAGTAACATCAGCAGCTTTTTACCATCTAAAAAACATTGCCAGGATCAAAAACATAGTGTTTAAAGCAGACTTGGAGATTCTTATCCATGCATTTGTCTCCAGTAGGTTAGACTACTGCAATGGCCTGCTCACAGGTCTGTCCAAACAGGCTGTAAAACAGCTGCAGTACATTCAAAATGCAGCAGCTCCAGTCCTGACTAGAACCAGGAAGTACGACCACATTAGTCCTGACTAGAACCAGGAAGTACGACCACATTAGTCCTGACTAGAACCAGGAAGTACGACCACATTAGTCCGGTCCTCAGGTCTCTGCACTGGCTTCCTGTGGCTCAGAGAATAGACTTTAAAACAGCTCTGCTTGTTACAAGTCTCTCCATGGCCTCGCGCCAAAATATATTAGTGACATGTTAGTCCCATATGAACCAGCCCGGACTCTGAGGAGCACAGGGACTGGACTCCTGCTGGGACTCTGAGGAGCACAGGGACTGGACTCCTGTTAGTGCCCAGAGTCAGAACTAAACATGGGGAGGCTGCTTTTCAGATTCATGCTGCTAAAATCTGTAACAGTCTTCCTGAAGATGTGAGACAGGCCTCCTCTCTGACAATGTTTAAAACCAGGTTAAAGACAGTTCTGTTTAGCTGTGCTACAACTGAGGGATTTTATATTTGTATCTTTCTTTTTAATGTTCTGTGATTATTTATGATTTTAATGCTTTCTTGTTTTGTTCAGCACTTTGAATTGCCTTGTGTATGAATTGTGCTATAAAAATAAACTTGCCTTGCCTTGCCTGTTTGTTGGTTTCAATTATTTTTCCCGCCAAAAGGATTAGATTTTTCATCCTGAAGACATATGTTGGCACATGGGGGTTTAGTGCGACTGGTTCCGTCAAAAAATGAAAGTTTTGAGATTGTCGGACAAACGCCGACTCGACATCGCCCCCTAGACATCACCAGAGGCCTCCAGCAATCTAGGTTTGTTTAGTAGCAAGCATTAAACTATAATTAAATAAAGAACCAAATAAAGGTTCATACAATTCATTCATGTTTCTTTACTTAAAATTGCATTACTTTGAGTTGCCTTGAACTGCGCTAAACAAATAACTTCTCTCCCGCTCACTTCTGTCAATAGAAGCAGCGTGACTTGTTGGAGTTAGTGCGCGGACGTAGTGCTCCTCGTGTTATTACGCCTCACAATATAGTTCCCCTTTTTATCCGCTGAGAAAATGGACATGTTACATTTCTGTGTTACTGTACTAGGTAGCGTCACGTAACTGTGTTTAAATATGGAACACGTGGAAGAGTTTGGGAGCTTCTTACGGGAGCTGATTTGGAACTATACAGTCTGTGGAAGAGGCTGTGTTTGTGCTCTGTTTGCATGACAGAGCACACGGACACAGACCAGACAGGAACATATCAGTCTGAGGTAAGAACATGTGTCAGTCTGTAAACACGGGGCCCATTCCTTTAAACGCCGCGGCAATAAGCGGTCGTTGAGACACTTTTTTTTCACTCATGTCTTTCTTGTGCCCCAGTGTTTACACACCGTGACAGTTTTGTCGACTAACATTATTCCTTTTTTTTTTTCATAAATCAAACCGCGGATCACGTCTGTACCGAACCGAAGACGTGGATCCGAACGGATCACGGATCAGTGATGAACCGTTGCACTTCTATACTTTACTATCACATCTTTTTCCATTGCTGAACTACAACCTTCCCGTTCGACGCAAACTCTTGACGTCACCACATCGAACTCTGATTGGTCGGTCAAAATTCAACCGATTGTAATCGCTAACATGGGGACCATGGGCACCAGACCCAGACGTTACATGCAGGAAATGATGATTGAATGGAGTGTGCGGATGGCTAAGGTCAGGCTAATGCTAACCCAGTGAATCCCAAACCTTTTCTTCTGGGCCTTTGGTACATAAAAAGGACATAAATACACATGAGACACATTTTGTTTTCAGAGTCCATTTCAGTTTATTTCAAAATTATGAGTTTAAAACTCAAAATTACGAGTTTTAAACTGCGCATGTGCAGTTGGAAACTCGTATGTGTTGTTGTCTGGAACGGTGTCTGGACACCCTTCACCTGCAGGTTATGTTGAATATATTGCCCACAGTGACCACTGCATCCATGAAGTAGCAATAATGTTGTGGCACAACATTAAACCTTTTGGAATTGCGATCAGTGCATTGAGGAGTGTGTGACGTGACGTCAGTGTGTGTGTGCGTGCACGCGGCCGAAACGTGAGCGCGCTCTGGAGAGAGTCAATGCCGTTATCATAATAGATCCATGGTCAATGCACTCATCGCAACTCCAAAAGGTTTGATATTGTCATGGCCCCCGACTGTGGTTCTCCTGCCTCTGTCTGTGGTTCTCCTGCCTCTGGGGGGGGGGGGAGGGGGAAGGAGAGGGAGGAAGAAGGGGGAGGGAGGAGAGGGAGAGGGGGGGGGGGGGGGGAAGGGGGGGGAGGGGGGAGAGGCGGGAAGAGAGAGAGGGGAAAGAGGGAGAGGGGAGAGGGAGGAAGGGAGAGGGGGAGGGGAGGGGGAGGGGAGAGGGGAGAGGGGGGGGGGGAGAGAGGGATAGGGAGGGAGGCAGAGAGGGGAGAGGAGGGTAAGAAGGAGTAAGAGAGAGAGAGGGGAGAGAGGGGGGGGAGGGAGGGGGGGGGAGGGGGGGATAGAGGAGGGGGGTAGTAGGGGGGGAAGGAGAGAGAGGGAGTGGAGGAAGGAGGATAGGAGTAGGGGGAGGGGGGGGAGGAGGGGGGAGGAGGGGAGAGGGGGAAGAGGGGGGGGGGGAGGGAGGAGTATGTAAGGGGGAGGGGGAGGAAAGGGAGAGGGAAAGGGGGTAGAGAGAGGGGGAGGAGGGAGGAGGGAGGGGGAAGAGGAGGGGGGGAGAGAGGAGGAGGGAGAAGAGGGGGGGGGAAGAAGAGGGGAGGGGGGGAAAGGGGAGGAGAGGGTCCTGAAGTCCACAATCATCTCCACTGTCTTCTGGGCGTTCAGCTCCAGGTTGTTAGCACTGCACCAGGACACCAGCCGGTCCACCTCCCTCCTGTAGGAGACACCAGGACACCAGCCGGTCCACCTCCCTCCTGTAGGAGACACCAGGACACCAGCCGGTCCACCTCCCTCCTGTAGGAGACACCAGGACACCAGCCGGTCCACCTCCCTCCTGTAGGAGACACCAGGACACCAGCCGGTCCACCTCCTCCTGTAGGAGACACCAGGACACCAGCCGGTCCACCTCCTCCTGTAGGCGGACTCATCGTTGTTGGAGAGGAGTCCAATGAGGGTGGTGTTCTCGGTATAGTCTCACTGTAGTCTGAGTATATTCTCGGTATAGTCTCGCTGTAGTCTGAGTATATTCTCGGTATAGTCTCGCTGTAGTCTGAGTATATTCTCGGTATAGTCTCACTGTAGTCTGAGTATATTCTCGGTATAGTCTCGCTGTAGTCTGAGTATATTCTCGGTATAGTCTCTGTGTAGTCTGAGTATATTCTCGGTATAGTCTCACTGTAGTCTGAGTATATTCTCAGTATAGTCTCACTGTAGTCTGAGTATATTCTCAGTATAGTCTCACTGTAGTCTGAGCATATTCTCAGTATAGTCTCGCTGTAGTCTGAGTATAGTCTCTCGGTATAGTCTCGCTGTAGTCTCGCTATAGTCTTGCTACAGTCTCGGTCTAGTCGGGTCCCGTGCCTCTTTACTGCCCTGGCCCCTCTTTATCGGGGCGTCCCGGAAGCCTGGGTGTCAGGTGCTGGTGTTTACTGGAGTGCCACATTCCTGCGCCTCCATAAAAGTGCTTGTATATCCAGAGCACGCCACCGTCGGGACCATGCGCCGCCGTTGCCATGGAGACGGGTCACTGTAAAGCCGTCGCTACTGTTCTGTCAGTGTTGAATCCCATAAACACAAGGACTCCCAGAGCTGTCATTTTGACTGCTCTTATTCAAACCAACAGAATTCTTAGAAATTCACCAAAAAAAATGTTGTTTTCCACCAGATTTATCAAATAATGAATTAATTAATGCATAAGGTTTAATTCCTTTACTCACTTCTACTAAGTGTGAACCCTGTTTAACTGAAATGTATCAAAAACAGTGTGTTGCCATGGTAACTACTACGGGCTCTTCTCTGGTGGAAAACCAAGATAACTCTGCTCAGGAACAGTCCAAGACCAGTCCAGGACCGGTCCAGGAACAGTCCAAGACCAGTCAAGGACCGTTCCAGGAACAGTCCATGACCAGTCCAGGACCAGTCCAAGACCAGTCCAGGACCAGCACCTTGAAGAAAAAGCTTTAACTGCAGATGATGGTGACAAATTTCAATTTAATTTGTTTTCCATGAGATGGTTTCTGTCCCATCGTCGTCCTTTACCTCCCACTGAGACAGAACTTAGAACTCTAGAACATGATTGTCATGGCAACAGTCCTCATGTCTATGTTGTTGTTGTGTTTTCTTTGTGTAGGTGTGGTTCCAAAACCGCCGGATGAAGGACAAACGGCAGCGACACACCCTCCCCTGGCCCCTCCCCTTCCTGGACTCCATGATGCCCCTCCCCCTCCTGGATCCCATGGGTGCTCTGCTGCTGTCCCGGACCCCCACCACCTACCCCCTCCTGCCTCACCCGCTCACGGCCCTGCCTTACTCCCCTCTGTCTCTGTCCCACCACGTCTCACCTTACAGCGCCCCCTTCAGGCTGGGCTCGTACAGCAGCAGAGCCCTGTGTCCCGCCGGCTCCCAGGGACACACCCCGTCCTGTCCCTGTCCCCTGTCCCCGGTGCGAACGGAGGGGACTGGCCTGACCGGGACCCTGACCAGGACCCAGACCGGGACCCTGACCAGGACCCAGACCGGGACCCTGACCAGGACCCAGACCGGGACCCTGACCGGGACCCCGACCAGGACCCCGACTGGAGGGACAGAGGAGAAGTGTCACGCGGTCCCTTAACCAGCCCACTGTGGTTACAATAATCAAAATAAAATAATTATTTTGTGTAGTTAATTGCGCTTAATTAACGCCATAATGTCCCAGCCCTAATAATGACATAATGACATTGTTATGCTTGATAATATGTCCTCTGTGTGTCGCTGATTTAACAACGTTGTGTATATTATGCTAATGTTTTATTTCAGTTTGACACTGAATGTTTGTTTAATATGTTTAAATTAATAATACAAAACACTTTGTTACTAATTCTCTGAACAGTTTGTTTTTGCTTCTTTACTCAGCGGCTCGACTTCTTGTTAAAGATAATGTAACATTAGGTGGAAACTGGACTAAGTCGTATCAGGTTCTGTGACTGATTCTAAATAAAAACAAACTAAACAACGACTTGTGGTTTTTCTTTCTAGAATGCAACAAATTCATGTAAATAAATGAATAAATATGATTTCTCGGTTCACGTCTGTTCTGATTTATTTAAACACAAAGAGTCGATACCAATGAAGACAACAGTGCAACCAAGGAATTTACCTGTGTGTGCTCTGCTTCTGTGGAGACGCATAGGTCTGTGCAGTGTTGCACTCACACACACAGACACACACACACAGACACACACTCACCTTTGGCCCTCCGCGGGCGGTTATCCCTCTCTAAGCTTGGGTCCTCTACCAGAGGCCTGGGAGCCTGAGGGTTCTGTGCAGTATCTTTGCTGTTCCTAGCACTGCACATTTCTGGACCCAGATGTCCGAGGTTGTTCCGGGGATCCGCTGTAACCTCTTCTAGCTTCGGGGTCACTGCCCCAAGTGCACCGATCACCACGGGCACTACTGTGACCTTTACCCTCCAGGCCCTCTCCAGCTCCTCTCTGAGACCTTGGTATTTCTAAGCTTTTCGTGTTCTTATATATAAATATAAAATTATTATGTAAGTAGCCTATTAGAATTAAACACAGGTGTCCCAGTTGGACCCATCCCGCCACAGCCCATAACATCCCCCTCTGATCCCTCTGAGCCGCTAATACCAGAGCTTCATTAATGACACACTCTTAATGTCTGCTCTAAAGAGGCCTTCATTAGAGAAGTGACCACCACGCCTCCCCCTCCTCCTCCTCCTCCCCCTCCTCCTCCTCCTCCCCCTCCTCCTCCTCCTCCTCCTCCCTCCTCCTCCTCCTCCTCCTCCTCCCAGACCGATCTCTTAATAATGTGGTCTAATGGGGTAAGTACAGAGCCAGGAGCAGTGGCTGGACGTCCCGGATCAGCGGAGGCCAATGAGGGGGACATGATAGAGCTGAGAGCAGCTGCAGCTCTGCATAAACACTGGTGTCTTATCAACCCAGACCGTGTCATTATCAGGAGGCAGCTCCTGATGAAGCAGCTCCTGATGAAGCAGCTCCTGATGAAGCAGCTCCTGATGAAGCAGCTCCTGATGAAGCAGCTCCTGATGAGGCAGCTCCTGATGAAGCAGCTCCTGATGAGGCAGCTCCTGATGAAGCAGCTCCTGATGAGGCAGCTCCTGATGAGGCAGCTCCTGATGAAGCAGCTCCTGATGAGGCAGCTCCTGATGAGGCAGCTCCTGATGAAGCAGCTCCTGATGAAGCAGCTCCTGATGAGGCAGGTCCTGATGAGGCAGCTCCTGATGAAGCAGCTCCTGATGAGGCAGCTCCTGATGAAGCAGCTCTTGATGAAGCAGCTCCTGATGAGGCAGCTCCTGATGAGGCGCTGTCTGGGGTCACTCTTTAACAATCTTTTGTCTTTTGACAAACGACTAATAAACATTTCTTCCTTCCTCCTCCATGGAGTTTGCGTGCCTGGATGATCCTAAGACCTATGTTGCCCACGGCAACCAGGTCCAAGGCGACAGCGCGGACCAAAACCCACGTGTATTTCACATGGAGGACTGTGGTGTTGCTCGGTGCCGTGAAGCCGGGCCCCGTGAAGCCGGGCCCCGTGGGTCCACCCTCCTGTGGCTCAGCCCCCGCAGAGGGATCCATGGGGATCGGCTCCACTCACAGCTTGTGCTGGAACCCTCCTCCTCCAGAGGTTCTGGATGCTCCACTTTTCTGGTGTTTCTCACGGGTCAAGGTGGCGAGCTCTGGAGGACGTACTCATGACCCCCCCCCCCCCCCCCCCCCCCCCCCCCAGCTCCCCCATGATGTCAGAGGGAAACTATGATTTTAGTCTTTTCTCACATTTCACACAAATTAGTTTTTTTCTTTTGTCTTAGCTTCAGCAGGAGTTTACGGCGCAGGTGGTCTATAAAAGTCCCTTTCCAAAGCATGGTTATAACTTAAACATGTTGTGTTTTATTTCACCTGAGTTCTGTTTGAACACATTTAGAAGTCCTCAGTTTTACAGCAGAACATCAAAGACACAATCATCTCTGCATCTTTCCCACGGCTCTCTCAGACTGAGCCGGAGGAAACAGGACATGTGCAGGAAAGGGATGGATTTTACTGATTCGTTTATCGTGGTTTTGATTTGGTCGTTTATGGTGTGAGGGGGGGGGGGGGGGGACTACAGGCTCAGTCCTGGGTCTGCAGCCTCAGTCCTGGATCTACAGCCTCAGTCCTGGGTCTACAGCCTCAGTCCTGGGTCTACAGCCTCAGTCCTGGGTCTACAGTCTCAGTCTTGGGTCTACAGCCTCAGTCCTGGGTCTATAGCCTCAGTCCTGGGTCTACAGCCTCAGTCCTGGGTCTACAGCCTCAGTCCTGGGTCTACAGCCTCAGTCCTGAGTCTACAGCCTCAGTCCTGGGTCTACAGTCTCAGTCCTGGGTCTACAGTCTCAGTCCTGGGTCTACATTCTCAGTGGTTATTATTACTACATTTCCTCTGATCAAATTGTTTGATTTTCCGATCTGTAGTTTAGGAATCAACAACTTTAAAACGTGCTCAGAGGCGGCGGCTGTTGTGATTTAGGGCTAAATAAAAATAAATATCATAAAATTGAAATAAAGTAGAGGATTTCACCCCAAGATGTGCAAAGCTTATAGGCTTATAGAGACACAAGACTTACAGCAGAGAGGCCCAGAAAGTATGAACTCAGGGGGATGAATACTTATGCAAACCACCATTTTTATTCCTTTTCATTTCCGTTTTTTCATTAGTAAAAATACAATAAAGTTATGTGTCATTTTGCTTTCACTTCACAATCGTCTGTCACTTTTTTCTGGTTATTTCACCTAAAAACCAACAATAAAATATCTTCTTGTTTGTGGGTGTAACGAGACGAACGAGACTCTTCTTCTGCTGGAGTCTCGTTGTTTGAGCACATTTTAATGGAGTTGGGACTTTTGTGAGTGGATCTGGCAGATCTACAGACACAGTTGTTCGTCCTGAGGCTGCAGTAATTCTTTATTATTCCAAATGAAGAGGAGCAGAGGTGCGTGGACCCGGGCCGTCCTGCTCAGTGCGTCTCTACTGCCCCCTGCCGGTCACGCTTGCCACGCTTGCCCCCTGCCACTGACATTTACTCTGCAAATACAGGAGTGATTCTTCAAATATATTCTTCAAGTGTTGCTGCTCAGACTTCCCAAACTTCCAGAGCCTTCATTTTGACTGCTCCCATTCAAACCAATGAAATTCTGTGAAAAGTTCTCAAAAGTTTTTCCACCAGGAACTTCTTAAACCTTCATTAAATTATGTTCACATGTAGGAAGACAAAAGAAAGAGGTATAGTGTGTTCACAGTAAAGTGACAATTGAAGTATCTGGACTTTAAAAGGTTATAACTTAAAAACTAAAATTACTTTCATAGATTGGAAAAAAAGATTTCAAACACAGACAGATTGAAGAGATAGTGTGGAAAAAATCAAAAGGAAAGATTGACATGAAAATGTTTAGCAACATTTTAAATGAGCCTCTGATTGGACCATTCTACTGTGACGCCAGTTACATAGAAAATAAAATGTCCTCAGTCTGAAAAAGCAGAAGATGAAATCCCACAGATTTACATGGTTAACACAACAGAAGGAAATCACTTTATATAAAAAAAAAATTAAACATTATTTATTAATTAAATGACCCCTGAAAAATGTATAACGGACGTGATGAGGACAGTCCTCTTTTCCCTAAAAATTAAACTTGAGAAAAAATAAATCTGGTCTGTTTTCACATTTAATTGGTTGACAATATGAAAGTATCACTTTGCATCTACTTTGTGTAAAAAAATAGAATCTCTGAATCAAATGTGGACATCTGAAAATACCTAACAAACTTCCACAAAGCTCATTCCGTCAAATCATCACGTCCGTTACATAAAATAAACAGGGCCGCTATAGGAAACTTGTTTAATGTATAAAACAGTTATGTTCTAGCAACTTCTAATGAACAGAGGAGGTGCTTGGAAACATGAAAAACATAAAATATCTTCTAATTATTCAAATCTAATTTTTGGCCTTTAGTGTGAATAAGGCCATATGTGGAACTGTAATACAGTAATCGGGTAATCTATGTAGAAAAACCTCTCTCCACCTGGACTAGAGGGCACCTGTGGTACTGCAACCTGAATCCACCTGGACTAGAGGCCACCCATGGTACTGCAACCTAAATCCACATAGACTAGAGGGCAGTCGCGGTACTGCAGCCTATATCCACATGGGTTGTTAGCAGATATCCTCACAGCCCTCAGTGTGACTCAAACAGCTCGAGATATACAGCTTTCACAAAGGAGGATTCTGAGGAGTTTTAGTGTCTCTGTCTTATGAACAGTTTTTATTTTAAAATCTGTGCGTTTTGTGTAAATCCACACTTTAGTCGCAAACTCTGCTCACTCCGCTCTGATTGGTCAGAACGCTCACATGTTTCTCTGGTCCATGGTGCACGAGCCAATGAGCACAGGCCTGATCTGAATGGGCAGACATCTTGGAGACCAGACACACACACACACACACACACACACACACACACCCACACACACACACGTACACACACACACGCACACACCCACACACACACACGCACACACACACACTCACACACACACACACACACACACACCCACACACACACACGTACACACACACACGCACACACCCACACACACACATGCACACACACACACACACACACACACACACACACACACACACACACACACACCCACACACACACGTACACACACACACGCACACACCCACACACACACACACACACACACACACACACACACACACGCACACACCCACACACACACACACACACACACACACACACTCACACACACACACACACACACACACAACCACGCACACACACACACACCACTTGTCTGATGAGTGTGTTTCTATAATAGGTCCATGCAGCTTTTATAGAAACCATGAATATGAATGAGACCGACTGTAAAGCCTCGGTCTGTGCGGGACTCTGGTCTTTGTTTTACTGATTTGTTTTGTTTTATGTTTTGCTGAGCTCGCACACTCTGCGGCAGACGGAGCGGTAGACGGAGCGGGAGGCGTGTGCGGTCAAAGATCACCTTTAATAGTAGTGAAGACACAGAGATAGCATGCAGCATTGTTTGTATTTAGCTTGGAACCATTAAAAACACAAGTCTCTGTACCTGCATGTCCTCAGGAAGATTTAACTGGCAGCTGCTAAAGTGCATTAAAGGGCCCTAATGTGTCATCATTAAAGGGCCCTAATGTGTCATCATTAAAGGGCCCTAATGTGTCATAATTAAAGGGCCCTAATCTGTCATCATTAAAGGGCCCTAATGTGTCATAATTATAGGGCCCTAATCTGTCATCATTAAAGGGCCCTAATCTGTCATCTTTAAAGGGCCCTAAGTAAGTTTCGATGTACCGCCCTCCACCGTTTCACCAATCAGAAAGTCTGTGATCCGGGCGCCAGAACTCACCGCGTGGAGCTAATCTCACTGGTAAAGTACCATGTGGCGCAGAACTAAAAAAGTCTCGTTATGATTCTCAAATCATTAACGACAAAACAAGGAATAAAACCAGGATTTCTATCTTTGTGAAAAAGGTGTTGGTTATAGATTTGTTGTTGACAAAACTCTTGTCTATTCAGCTGTTATGGTCCCAGCTGGATTCGTCTGCATATCTGGCAACCTGAGTCAGGGAGAGTGGGAGAGGCTGCAGTACCACTTTTGGCCACATTTTTACATACTGCTCCCGGGGTGGCAAATACAAATATCTTCATCACCAATGATTCATAATTAAATAATTATAATAAAGCATCAGTTTCATAGAGTGCTTTTTTGGACACTCAAAAGCCCTGTTTTCCAGGTACTGTATCCTAGCAACCTAAACACAGCAAACCAGTAACCAGGGAAATTCCTTGGTAACCATGGCTTCCAACAGCACTGTGGCCAATCACTGTCAGTTAGAACACTCTAGTGCCAGCTCGGCCTGGATAGAACCAGGACCAAGAGGGACTAAAGAAGGACCTGGGACTGGTTACACAGGACCAGGGGTAACAATCTCAATCAGGGGAGAGTAGAGTTGGGCTGGTGGAAACGGGGCTAAAGACTCACCACCGTGTAGCCACAGCTGCCCTGGGGAACACTGTCAGAAGCGAGGCTTAGCTCTGATGGGATCTAGATTTTTTCTGCAGGTGGTGAAAATTCAATTCAATCCAACAGTAGTGTCTTGATGGTCAATTCATCAACAGCAGATCTGAGAATCAATTAGTTCAAACAATGATACAAGAGAATGAGAAACACAAAGGAGCCTTTGGTCCAGAGTGGGACGACCACTGAGCAGAAATGTTCTCTTTTGTATTTTTGTAGTCCTTCTTGATTCTGGTTCTATCCTGACCGAGCTGGTTTGCCAGAGTGCTGCTGGAAACCATGGTTACCAAGGAATTTCCATGGATACTGGTTTGTTGTTGATCAGTTGCTAGGATACGGTACCAGATTCTAAAGTGTACTGAAAACACAACCAGGTAGAGTAGAGTAGAGTAGAGTAGAGTAGAGTAGAGTAGAGTAGAGTAGAGTAGGGCTGGTGGAAACGGAGCTTATTCTATTCTATTTCAGTACAAAGCAGGTGGACGCAAATCTAACCAATAACCGCCGCTTACACTGAATTCACGGTCTCGTCCAATCAAATACGCGCACTTTCACGTCCTCCCGCCTTCCCACTTTCATGACCACTCACGGCCCAGGATTTCCTTCTGGCTTCCGCACTCTCAAGGACTGACATTTCTCTGGACCAATCAGCACCGAGGACGTAGGACTCTGGCTTATAAATGACAAGGTGACAGCTCTTCACGGTCTACATTCACATCCTACAGCCGTGTGCGAGAGCAGCTAACCCCGGGACCCTCCGAAAAGCCCTCACAGACCGGTAATCCCCCCTCTCTTCCCCGCTGCATCTCTGTGCGTCGTCTGCAGACTGTGTACCATGCGTGATCTGTGTTTGTTCTGCACCGGGTCGAAGCGATCGGCGTGCGAAAAGCAAGCTGTCATTGCTATAACTGCGCGCTAGCACACAGGTGGCTAAAGACTAGGCATTTCGTCCGCAGGTCTGATTTGAGTGTAATGTCCAAACTCGTTATATATTGTCAATGAAGTATTAAGGGACATATTTGTGGCAATTCTTTAAAAAAAAATTGCAATTGCACTAGTTTGATGGTGCAATGCTGTCTTCGTGAAAGCTGTTTGAAAATGCTTCGTTTTCTACATATTTATTTATTTTATTTTTATTTATTTGATCGGGACAACACACATTAATGAACAATCATATACAGTTGTACACAGATTGTAAATGTGCCAGATTATAGCAAAACTGCTAATTTACATCTGTAGTCCCGAGGCAGGTCACACAAGTATATTCTGGGATAACGTTATGGTTTGTCACATTAATGTTCTACTCCAAACATTACTTTCCTAGTTTTATTCCCTACATGTTTGGGGTGTATTTTGCATGTCTACGTCCTTCTACAGAGAATGTCAATGTTGCAGTGGAAGGAAATGTAGTATTTTAATTTATACCCATTGCGTATTTAAATGCATTTTAAATTACAAATATGTCCATAATATTCATTTTGCATATGTTTTTTTAATCCTGTGTAATTTTGCGTTTGACTACAACTGAGTTCGTGACGTCACTGCACCGCCTCCGGTCGGAATGCCAAGATTCTAGCTTCCCCGTGTTCGCCATTCAATGACTTCCAAAAGAAAGCTAGTGTTAAATGCACGTTTTTACAAGAAACATTTATAAATCTAATGACTGGTTAAACCTGACGTGCACGATCATAACCACACAACCTTAAAACCACATTCGCGTTTTTAAGGAATCCTGAGCTAACATGGAGACATCATGCTAGCTTCTGTGCTCACCGGCCTTGCTCCCTCTCCCTCCCCGCTGCACAACATCCATACTCTGGGCACTCTTTCTGGCAGAACGCTGGTGGTTCTGTGCACTAGCCCCGGGTCACGGCAGCGAACAGCGGGACGTGTTCAAGCCTTTCCCCGGGCGCCCTCTGCCAATGCCCGCTCGCTTTGTGACCTTCAGCGCTGCGGTCCGGTTAGCTTTAGTTAGCTTAGTTAGCTTAGTTAGCTTAGTTAGCTTAGTTAGCTTCGTTAGCTTCGTTAGCTTTAGTTAGCTTAGTTAGCTTAGTTAGCTTCGTTAGCTTAGTTAGCTTAGTTAGCTTCGTTAGCTTAGTTAGCTTCGTTAGCTTAGTTAGCTTAGTTAGCTTAGTTAGCTTAGTTAGCTTAGTTAGCTTAGTTAGCTTAGTTAGCTTAGTTAGCTTAGTTAGCTTAGTTAGCTTAGTTAGCTTAGTTAGCTTAGTTAGCTTAGTTAGCTTAGTTAGCTTAGTTAGCTTAGTTAGCTTAGTTAGCTTAGTTAGCTTAGTTAGCTTCGTTAGCTTAGTTAGCTTAGTTAGCTTCGTTAGCATGTCCGCTCTCAGATGGGACAGAGCCTTCATTGACTCTGTGGAGCAGTGTATTTGCTTTGTGTCTGACATTATGAGAACTTTGCATTCGTTGGTAATGGTTTGTGTGTGTGGATTGTGTCTCGTCAGATTAACAACCATTACTTGCTTATCCCCAGACCAGTCTGTACAATTGGATTAGTTTGTGGACGAATCCTGCAGCACCATTTGGGCTTTCCATAGTTCATAATGTGGAAACGACCTTGTCCCTAGTTTCAATTATTTTAACACAAACGTTGCTATTAGTTAACTTAATGGGGAGAAGTGAATACCAGTGAAATTATAAATGTTTAATGTCCCAGTGAAGTATGTATAGATGTAGATCCAGGTTTAACGTTTTATTTAGACTCTAGATGAGAACATTTTATAAATTAAAATGTGCATTCACTGAATTTGCAAAGCAAAAGATGTATTACTTTAGAATTCAAATCTTAATCCCAAACTTCTGCCTTCTCCCCACAGGTCGAGCCATGTATGCCTGCGCCAAGTTTGTCACATCCCCCGCTGCGGTGAGTCTCGTGCTGTTGTGCTGTGGTAGAATATCTGAATGAACGTGGATCCTGTGGTATCCCTGTGTTCAAGGACAGTTCATCTGATCTACAGACATCTGTGTCCGTCATACGGACCCCTCTCCAAAGGGGAACAAGGGAAGGGTCTAGTTTTGATGATGCAACCTATTCTTGAATGTTCTGGCTACAATGTAAATGTATCTGTTGGTGTAGCCTGGAGAGGGCTGAATGATGGATTACAATAATATTGAAATTTGGTCATGAAAAGCATTTAAATGAAGACTAAAGAAATTCACTTTCAAATGTCTCTTGGTTTGGGTTTATGATTTTTCTCAAAGGAGCTAGCGACTGTCTTTTTTGGGGCTGAAGTCTTATTTCCTCATTCCAATCGAGACTTATAATCTTATTAGATAATTGCATCAGTTTTATACTTTAATCACAAGGCACACGTTATCAAATTTAAGGTTTTACTCTAAACAAAATTTGAATTTTTTTTCCCAAAATAATACCGTGCATTTATGGTGTGTCCGTGAACAAAATGCTCTTTTTTTTTTTTTGTATAGCGACCAATGCCATGACTCTCAGTGCAGAAAATATGTCATCCATTCTCTCATCCAGTGAAAATGTCAATCTTCTGCCTGTTTTTTAAACTTTAACATCTGCATGGACTCATAATATACACTGTATGGCTGCAAAATGTGATGTCACCAGTTTTGGCCTTAATGCTGAAGAGGCCAATTTGAATTTAAGCAAACTGAAGCCAGTTTCCTTATGTGAATTTGTTCTGAAGCAGTCGGCTTTGTGCTGTAGTAAAGGTAGTCCTGTCTAAGACTGTTTCTAAGCTGGTTATCCCGAGAACAAAAGAATCTGGTCAATCTCTACAAAGACTATTAACACAGGTCCATTGACTTGGTGTGTAAACCTGCTGCAGCGCTTGGTCTAGTGTGAACACTAGACTTTACAAATTTGTCAGTTCTTAAATAGATCGCTTCAAAAGCTCATAGGAGCCAATGGTGCACATGTCATGAAAGAAGTCATGTCCCAATGTTAAGAGTAAAACCGTACATTAGACGTGCATGTCTTCACCCTGCACTGAGGATCAGGCGACGGAATGATGCTGATCCTCGAGTCTCCAGTTCTAACAGTTTTGTGTTTGCAGCTGCGCGGAGGGTCCAGAGTCCTCGCCCGGCCCCTGTCAGTGTCCCTGTACAGACCACAGCCCACAGAGCAGCAGGTGAGTGACCACGCTGTAGGACCTGCTTCTTCCAACAGAGTTGTGAAGCGCTATACAAATAAACTCTACTAAGAGAATGCAAAGAACAATACAAAAGTTGTTTCGAACCTAGTACAGAGGCTCAATGTACGGTGAGGGAGAGCTGCCTAAACAAATGGGTCTGAAGTTTGGGAAGCTTATTCCAAAGGCGAGGTGCACCAGCCTGGAAGGATCTGAATTAGTTTTAAAACCTGAGGAGACAGAGGACCATCAGCAGGAACAGGCACGGGACCATGAAGAGGCCTGGATGTCGGCAATAGGATTTTTAAAATGGTTCTATGTGAGAGACGGGGAGCCAGTGTGAGGACTTATGGTATTGATGATGTCCTGTGCACAAGTGAGGAGACTCTGAATGCAAAAGTTTGTCTGAGATTCAGTCTGGTCTCTTGTGTAATAGTCTTCAGTTTAGAGTTTAACTGCAAATTACAGTTAATTCTCTGCTGGAGTGAGGATTTGCACATCAATATCTCAGATTGGGTTTGTAGGAGGAGAGGCCTGGTGTAGTCTACGGTTGAATAGAATGATTCCCGCAGTCTTGATTTATTGGGAGTGCGGCGTTTCTGTGTTACGCCTTAATCAAGAAAATACATTTTCGTGGACATTTTTTAAATGGGTTAATATCTGTCAATGCCACAAGATGCTACTTATAGTTATTTTAATTTTTTTTAACCCTGCTGTTTTTGATTCTGGCAGTGTTGTGCTGTTGACAGGGCAGAGTTTAGGAACTTATGATTACTATTTTATTTTATTGTTAAAATGGGTGAAGGTGAAAGTCATGGAAGACAGTCAACAGCTTCCATGACTTATCTACTACATTAAACATGAACTTTTTGTGCACAAAATGTATTTCATTTTAACATTCAGATGGTGCGGTTTATAAACCGGTGTGCCTTTATATCACAGAGTGCTCTTGCCAAACTTTTAAATTGGTTCAAGGGTCACTAACCATAGTCTCATGGAGAAAGCATTGGTCCCAAACATGTGGTCCACATCAGGGCTAAAAAAGTGACCTTTATGCCTTGAATGGTTTTTTTTTTTAAAGGAGACATGTTTTAAAACCATACCATTTATGTTCTCTGTACGCTATCTTAGACTTAAGAATAACTCAATGAGTTTATAGTAATTTCTTCAACTTTGGGTTAATTTTCTGAACCATTGGCTCGAAGTCATGAGAACAATAAAGGGACAGAATTACCTAGTGCCAAAAAAGGTTATTTTCTGTCCCTTAAAGCTGCATTACCTCATTTTTATTTTTGTATTAATTACAAAAATTCTATCCATGCAGTGCATTGGGATAAACATCCTTTTTTTAAGGAAAAAGTAGCACAGATTTGTGCTGGTGTCATTTTATTTTAGATCAAGTTTTTGTGAAAAATGGAAGACAATGGTCACAATCTGGACCCGAAACAATCACAGCGCACCACTGGCCTCCACTTAAGAAAGCCACAGGTCTGTGGTTAGCACAGACAGCTGAGGCTAACCTGAAACTTCCTGTGTCTTCGTTACTGGTTACTGCTTACTCGGAGAAAGAGTCTCGTTCCTCCGCACTTCCCGGTTCTGTCATTCTGTGGTCACGCCACATTCAAATGTGTCCATATTGTGACGCGTGAGCTCCGTAAACACATAAGCACAGGCTGAGTGTTTACAGGCTGCACTATCACCGTGAGTTAGTGCAGCTTTAACTCCACGTTTAAGAATATTTGCATAGAAACAGTTGCTCAATTTCTCCCTTTTGTTCCGAGTGGGCCACACAACAGCTGTCTGTGGGTGTCCTTGGATCAGCATTGCATTGGTTTAGATTCAGTTAATTTGCCTTTTGCAGTAAAACCACATTGGAATAAACGTGTGAATGCCTCCCCTTCACCCTCTCCCAGCTCTGACATGCCCCTGACCTCTGCTCCTCCTCAGGCCCTCTTGCCGGTGAGCCAGTCCTCCGTGGCGCTGCGCTCCTTCCAGACCAGCGCCGTGTCCCGGGACATCGACACAGCCGCAAAGTTCATCGGCGCCGGTGCAGCCACAGTGGGAGTGGCCGGTTCGGGGGCGGGGATCGGGACAGTGTTCGGCAGCCTCATCATCGGATACGCCAGGTGAGTCTGGAAGTTTGATTATTAAAGGTGCAGTTAGCGATTTTGTTAGCTTAGCCATAGCACCAACTGGAAATTTTATATCAACATTTAAGGCCAGGAGGTCACTTTAGCACATTTCCTAAAATTTGTAATTTAGAGTTAGACTATCACTTTAAGGACAATGTATAGTTGCATTAAAAAGACTGCTGCACCTGCTACTTTCCACCTGTAGTCCTGACAATACAATCATAACTTTCATAATATACAGTTCAAATTAAAAGTGCAAGTTACTCAAATACATATTAAAATACACTTCATCACTGGACTCTCCTGCAGGAAGCTTTTGGTTGCCCTTCACCAAACTTGGGTACTGAATCTTTCTTTCTAGTCTTATTTAGAGCTAGATAAAGAACATATTTGCATTTGAGTTTTTTGTTGCCTCTGTGTTCTAATGTATAACACAGCATTGATATGTGCGGTCTTTACTTCATGTTGATTGGTCCAGAAATCCACTTTTAAAATGTGTCTAACTTTAAAGATATTGGGACTTGTCAATCTCTTAGCAATAAGGTCCTGGGTTCAAATGCTCAGTTTATGCATAAGTTTCCTCCGGGTGCTCCGGTTTCCCCTACCATTGAACATGTTCAATAGGTAAACTTCTGTGTGAGATCAATAGTCTAAAATATCTTAAAATCCTCCAGCTCTGGTCCTGAAGAGCATCAACATCTGTTACTATGGCAACCACTGCTCCTGAAAGAACACTGTACAGTGGTACAGTGGTAGAGGACAATCTTGAGGTCATGAATCCAGTGAAATTAGGGGGGGGGGGTACAGTGGTAGAGGACAATCTTGAGGTCATGAATCCAGTGAAATTAGTCGCACACCTTTTTACAGTAAAAAGTTACAGTAGATCAAAAGTGACATGTTTTGACTATTTTGGAGGTATTTTGGACCAAAATGGCTACTTTACCTCAATATTTCTACAGTAAAAGTTTCTGGTCTTTGGTACAGTGGCAGAGGGCAATAATAAGGTCATGAGTCAAGTGAAATTAGTCGCACACTTTATTCCAGTAAATAGTTACAATACTTGAAAATTGCACTAGCGGACCAAATTGTGTACTTTATACATGTAAACAATAGAGTGGCTATCCTCCTGAGGACTCACAATCTGCCGGAGGAATCGTAGGGGGCTGGTGCTATGTGTGCCGGGGTGGCATCTCTATAAGGTTTTAATCACAAAAACGTGTCTCCCAGACCCCAGCGCGCTTTCTGTTCGATAAAAACGGGTGACTCCGAAAGGACGTTCCGCTGTTACCGTAAGTTCTCAACAAAACGCGCACCGTCTTTTCCCCGATGCTGGCCGCATGTTCATAGAGCTGAAAGATGCGGGCCACTTTACCGCGGTAAATTAATAGACACAGCTGCTTACAGCGATGATCGCTGATGGAGACGGAGACACGCGGTGTGCACGAAGGGGAGGGGCTGTGTGTGTGTAGGTCTCTGTATGTGGGAGAGACGCGTAGCTTGAGTGAGAGTTACGAAGGGCCGCCACATTTTAAACCCCCCTCCCCGCTGTCAAATTGACCGCTGCGGCGGCACTAGACGATGCATGTTTTAAATAGCGTAACAAAAAAAATATATATATAATAATACGAAACGCAATTTGTGGCGGGCGGTCTCTAATCTGTGGCGGTGCGCCACAGATTAGTCTATGTGTGGGAAACACTGCTGTTGGTGTTTAATCTGAGTAATGTGCAAAACTATGACGCAGACTTTCTCACTGTGGGACAAATTAAGGATTATTTTATGTGAACTTCAAGTTTTTGTCTTTATTTAAAGTGACAGCTGCCTCCATCTGCAGTCCCTGTTTACACGTGTTTATACTTTAACTCACTCCGGTTCTTTCTGTAGGAACCCGTCTCTGAAGCAGCAGCTGTTCTCCTACGCCATCCTGGGCTTCGCTCTGTCTGAGGCCATGGGTCTGTTCTGTCTGATGGTGGCGTTCTTGATCCTGTTCGCCATGTAACCGCCGCACACGACCCCTGACCCCCCACACTGCCCCAGCCCCCCTTCTACAGGCTCGCGGGCCATTCCAGTCTCAAAGATCAATATGAAGAATATCAGCGGTTGGCAAACCCCTGAATCTACATTTGTATGTCCAACACTTTTTTTTGTCTCAAGTTGCTGTAAGGCGTCACTTTGCTTGAAAGTCTGTCCAAAATAAATACTTGGGATAACTAGCGTCTGGAATGGTTTATTTTAATGTAAAGTCATTGGCTGCATCTACAATCAGGGAAACTGCCTCCTTCTGGATCTTTGTTTTAAAGTGGACACTGTTTTTTTTTTTTTTAAATGATGGCTTAATTTGAGACTATATTGCTACTTAAGTCTATAAATTTGCATTAAGCAGTGGTCTTATGTGAGCAGAAGTGAAGTGCTGCCCAAGCTAATGCTTCTAGAATGACTATAGTTCAATTACAAACTTGTGACATGTTTGGGGGTCCTGACTGAATCTCTTCTACCATGATATTCTAGAATTAGAACAAGGTTAATTTATGACCTTTGAGTCAACTAGCCATTCTTAAGTATTCACAGCCATTCAAAGTATTCGGCCCCCTTGAACCTTTCAACATTTTGCCACATTTCAGTCTTCAAAGATATCAAAAATTGTCATGAATCAACAAGTGGTACAATCGAAGTGGAACGAAATTTATTGGATAATTTAAACTTTTTATTTGTTAAACTGAAATGGGGCGTGCAATATTATTGGGCCCCTTTACTTTCAGTGCAGCAAACTCAGTCCAGAAGTTCAGTGAGGATCTTTGAATGATCCAATGTTGTCCTAAATGACTGATGATAAATAGAATGCACCTGTGTGTAATCAAGTCTCCGTATAAATGCACCTGCTCTTTGATAGTCTCAGGGTTCTGTTTAAAGCGCAGAGAGAACCATGAAGACAAAGGAACACACCAGGCAGGTCCGAGATACTGTTGTGGAGAAGTTTAAAGCCTGATTTGGATACAAAAAGATTTCCCAAGCTTTAAACATCTCAAGGAGCACTGTGCAAGCAATTATATTGAAATGGAAGGACTATCAGACCACTGCAAATCTACCAAGACCCGGCCGTCCCTCAACTTTCATCTCAAACGAGAAGACTGATTAGAGATGCAGTCAAGAGGCCTATGATCCCTCTGGATGAACTGCAGATAACTACAGCTGAGGTAGGAGTCTGTCCATAGGACAACAATCAGTCGTGCACTGCACAAATCTGGCCTTTATGGAAGAGTGGCCATTTCTCAAAGATATCCATAAAAAGTCTCTTAAAGTTTGCCACAAGCCACCTGGGAGACACACCAAACATGTGGAAGAAGGTGCTCTGGTCAGATGAAACCAAAATCGAACTTTTTGGCCACAATGCAAAACGATATGTTTGGCGTAAAAGCAACACAGCTCATCACCCTGAACACACCATCCCCACCTCAGCTGTAGTTATCTGCAGTTCATCCAGAGCGATCATGGGCCTCTTGGCTGCATCTCTGATCAGTCTTCTCCTTGTTTGAGATGAAAGTTTGGAGGGACGGCCGGGTCTTGGTAGATTTGCAGTGGTCTGATACTCCTTCCATTTCAATATAATTGCTTCCACAGTGCTCCTTGAGATGTTTAAAGCTTGGGAAATCTTTTTGTATCCAAATCCGGCTTTAAACTTCACAACAGTATCTCGGACCTGCCTGGTGTGTTCCTTTGTCTTCATGGTTCTCTCTGCACTTTAAACAGAACCCTGAGACTATCAAAGAGCAGGTGCATTTATACAGAGACTTGATTACACACAGGTGCATTCTATTTATCATCATCAGTCATTTAGGACAACATTGGATCATTCAAAGATCCTCACTGAACTTCTGGACTGAGTTTGCTGCACTGAAAGTAAAGGGGCCGAATAATATTGCACGCCCCACTTTTCAGTTTATTTGTTAAAAACGTTTAATTATCCAACAAATTTCTTTCCACTTCACGATTGTGTCCCACTTGTTGTTGATTCATGACAAAAAATTAAAATGTTATATCTTTATGTTTGAAGCCTGAAATGTGGCAAAAGGTTCAAGGGGGCCGAATACTTTCGCTAGGCACTGTAGCTACAAAACTAATTGCATATTTTGTCCGTATGCTGCACTGCCAACAAGTTGTTCAAACATTAAGACAGTTTAGCTTCTAGAGGTAATGTAATGTATTTATGAAAAGCACGCTCTCAATATGAAGTGTACAAAACTCTGGACCATGTATCAGATTAAAGGAAATGTAAGTTTTATTGGTAGGACATAATTGGACTCGGCTAATTTCCATTAGTTTAGAACAATAAGGTGATGGGGAAATTCAAAAGAACATCCTTTGTTTATAAATCACAAGTGAACATGAGACCACAACATGTCTTTTTCTTGGTAGAAAACGTGTTGCTTCCTGGAAACCCCTGTGAGTCACTATTTGACTCTGGCTGTGTGTCGTTTCACTTGTCTGAATGTGAGGCAAAAATACATAACTAATGAGCTATATTTTGATTTTCATAAGTCCTTTCTGAGTGGAGTTTGCATGTTCTCCCCGTGTCTGCATAAGTTTCCGCCACTAATAACGTGCACAATGGGTCTGAATCAATGGTGTTGGTCGGAGGCTTTAATGCTCCAGTGTGTTCTGGTCTTGCTTCCGTCATCACCGTGTCGAGAGAATGAATCAATATCTGAACTCTGAAGATTGTAAAGCACTTTGGGTGACCGTGGTCTGTAAAAATCCACTATATAAAGATTACTTTTTCATCCCAGAGTTGGGAAATTTCAAGTAAGAATTCAGTACTTATTTAGGTATATAGGATTGTCTACTTTCTGGTGGATCAGCAAGACTATTGGTCCTTCCTAATTGTCAATCATTTTGGTGATCCATGCTTTTCAAAGTAAGACCCGAGTGTTGTTCAAAAAGTGGAGTGTGTTTTCCAAAAAATTGGGAAAATCCTCCTTTAACACTTATATTTATGTATTTTTTACTGTAAATGTGTACATATTCACAGATTTGTATATTCCTGAGTACCTATATCCAGATTATTCTATTCTCACAATATTGTCTTTCTTATTGTCAGATTGTTACTTTAATTTTTTATTATTATTGGGAATATTATGCAAGCTACTGTGAAAACGCCATTTCCCGTTTGGATCAATAAAGCTGGTCGAAGTCTAAACAAACTAATTTGAAAATCCTAATTCCACCCTTTTCTTTTATTCTGAAAGTGCTTCCCGGATGCTCCTTCCCCCCGCTCACTCAGTCTTGACGCACGTGGTGACGCCAGAGCTAGCTCCTGAAGTTACGCTGTGTTTACGCTCTCTCTCGGCTTTCATGCGACACTTCAGCCCGTGACACCACTTCCCCACCCGGCCTCCACCGCGCACCGACCCCGCACCATCACCCTACCCCTGCGGACATGCCCGTATCGCCCGCGGACTCGCCACTTCGTCGGGCTGCTGCCGTCGTGCTAACCGCTCAGTGCTAGCTAGTGTCATGTCGCGGAGGCATACCCCGTGTTGAAGCTTCTGGGGGCGCGAGACGAACCGAGGAGCGCAGGCAGATAGCGCGAGCTCCGTCCGCGCGATAAAGTAGAGCCGAGCCATGGCGGACAGTCTCGGAGAGGAGCCCAGCGGAGGAGCGGGACCTGCGGCTGCCCTTGGCTTAGGCGTCACCGGGCAGGGCAACGGGGTAAGTCAGAGTCTCTCCCTGATTGTAACGTTGTTGGTGTGTGATGATGATGGCTGCTGCTAGCTAGGTGTGGACAAACCTGTTACGTGCACCTGGGTTAGTGGTTATTATTCTCAAGTTATCTGTCCTTGGCGAAGTAAGTAAACAAACCACTTGTGTGATTCCATGGAAAACGAAACCTAAAACCGTGTGACACATTTTGCATGGGGATGAGGTGAGTTCTGTGACATGGCGTTTCTGAAAAGCCAAAGAAACCACAAACATAGCCTCACCTCTGACCAGTGACTGATCAGGTTTGTGGAGAAGCAAGCCAACTGAGAAAGAATGCACAGTACAACAATTCAATGCTATAAAGCCATTTATTTTGTACTTAAAAGGGCTTGGTTAAAAAGATAATTATACATATATCTTTATTCAACCAATACGTAACCAAAATTGCGTCCCTATGTCATGTTAAGTGGCCTTCTGCGCTAAAGACAAGATCACAGTGTCATCCAGCCAACTTCAGCTCTGTCAAAAAATGCTCTATCCTGTAGCATAGCTCTAGAATCCAGCCATAGACTTTATCTGTATATACTGACATCTGTTTTGGATCGTGTCCCCAAATGTCATGTATGGTGCTCATGTAAGATGGTAAACATTTGTCATTCAGCCAACTTCAGCTCCTTCCGTTTTGAAAGATCAGAACAGCCCAAGTTCAGTCAAAACAGTTATTATCGGGATCGCTGAACAAGTCTGATTTTATGTGCATTATAAAAACATGTGTCCATTCATTGTTACTTTACTTAATATAATAATAATTACAATAATGTCAGAATATGCAATAATATATTAATTACATGTGTCCCAGACCCTCATGCTGCTAATGTACAGTTATAAACATACAACTACATATTTCTTGCACTAGAATATACATGTTTACATTTTATACTTACTACTTTATTATGCTAAAGCTGGAGATCTTATTTTCATATAGAGATATGGTTCATTTATCTTGTGCTGTGTTCTCCTTATTCCTACTGTTCTGTAAATGGTGATGCAACACTGACATTTCCCCACTGAGACGTACAAATCCATCATTGTCCCCGTCCCGAAGAAGCCCAGGATCACAGGACTCAACGACTACAGACCTGTAGCACTTACGTCTGTCGTCATGAAGTCATTTGAACGCCTGGTTCTCTCCCATCTCAAGTCCCTCACCTCCACCTCCCCCCTCCTGGACCCCCTGCAGTTCGCCTACAGAGCCAACAGATCTGTAGACGACGCCATTAACCTGGCCCTCCACCACATCCTACAGCACCTGGACTCCCCGGGGACCTACGCCAGGGTCCTGTTCGTGGACTTCAGCTCTGCCTTCAACACAATCCTGCCATCCCTGCTCCAGGACAAGCTCTCCCAGCTCAACGTGCCCGATTCCACCTGCAGGTGGATCACTGACTTCCTGACGGACAGGAAGCAGCGAGTGCGTCTGGGGAAGAATGTCTCGGACTCTCGGATTATAAATACAGGAGCCCCACAGGGCTGTGTTCTTTCTCCCCTGCTCTTCTCCCTGTACACCAACCACTGCACCTCCTCCCACTGCACCTCCAACCACTGCACCTCCAGCCACGACTCCGTGAAGCTGATCAAGTTCGCGGACGACACCACCCTCATTGGACTCATCTCCAACAACGATGAGTCCGCCTCCAGGAGGGAGGTGGACCGGCTGGTGTCCTGGTGTCTCCTACAGGAGGGAGGTGGACCGGCTGGTGTCCTGGTGTCTCCTACAGGAGGGAGGTGGACCGGCTGGTGTCCTGGTGTCTCCTACAGGAGGGAGGTGGACCGGCTGGTGTCCTGGTGTCTCCTACAGGAGGGAGGTGGACCGGCTGGTGTCCTGGTGCAGTGGTAACAACCTGGAGCTGAACGCCCAGAAGACAGTGGAGATGATTGTGGACTTCAGGAAGAGCACTGTCCCCCCGCCCCCACCCTCCGTGATGGACTCCCCCATCACCTCTGTGGAGTCCTTCCGTTTCCTGGGCACCACCATCACCCAGGACCTCAAGTGGGAGCCGACCATCAGCTCCTCATCAAGAAGGCCCAGCAGAGGATGTACTTCCTGCGGCAGCTCAGGAAAGCCAAGCTGCAGTTCTACACGGCCATCATCGAGTCCATCCTCACCTCCTCCATCACCTCCTCCATCACCTCCTCCATCACCTCCTCCATCACCTCCTCCATCACCTCCTCCATCACCTCCTCCATCACCTCCTCCATCACCTCCTCCATCCCCTCGTTCCATCCCCTCCTCCATCACCTCCTCCATCCCCTCCTCCATCACCTCCTCCATCACCTCCTCCATCCCCTCCTCCATCACCTCCTCCATCACCTCCTCCATCCCCTCCTCCATCACCTCCTCCATCACCTCCTCATCACCTCCTCATCACCTCCTCATCACCTCCTCCATCACCTCCTCCATCACCTCCTCCATCACCTCCTCCATCCACCTCCTCCATCACCTCCTCCATCACCTCCTCCATCACCGTGTGGCTGGAGCCACAGTCAGGGACAAACAGAGACTACAGTGCATTGTGCGCTCTGCAGAGGAAGTGATCGGCCGCAGCCTTCCATCGCTGCAGGACCTGTACGTCGCCCGAGCTCGAGGCCGGGCTGGTCGTATCACAGCCGACCCCTCTCACCTGCACATGGACTATTCCAACCACTCCCCTCTCACCTGCACATGGACTATTCCAACCACTCCCCTCTCACCTGCACATGGACTATTCCAACCACTCCCCTCTCACCTGCACATGGACTATTCCAACCACTCCCCTCTCACCTGCACATGGACTATTCCAACCACTCCCCTCTCACCTGCATATGGACTATTCCAACCACTCCCCTCTCACCTGCACATGGACTATTCCAACCACTCCCCTCTCACCTGCACATGGACTATTCCAACCACTCCCCTCAGGCAGGAGGCTGCGGTCCATCAGGACTAGAACCTCCCGCCACAAGAACAGTTTCTTCCCCTCTGCTGTTGGACTCTTGAACACTTCTTAACCTGTCCCCCCGCCCTTTATAAAGTCACTTTACTGCCCATCATACGTCACTTTACTTCACTGTACTGCTGTCACCTTACATTGTGTGCACCGTGTGCACTTGTATATTGTAAATAGTAACTGTAACTCTATTTTAAACTTACATTTATTCCTTAGAAGTGTTTTTTATTCTTTTATTTTTATTATCTCTTTCTGACTGTTGCACTGAGCCAAAGCAATTTCCAAGTCTGTGACCTCCTGTTACTTACGTGGCAATAAAAATTATTCTGATTCTTATTCTGATAAAGGATCTCCTAATTTTATATGAAATTGGACCTGTTACTAAAGAGATTTTGTTTTTTTCAAAAGTTGCTAGTGACAATCACACACATCTCATTCATAATAAAAGTATGATCATATCCAGCAAAACACATTTTTCTACAAAGAACAGTTACCTTAGATACATATTGCTAAATGAGGCTCAATGCCATTAGATTTTTTAATATTCTGGAAAAATAAATTAAAGTTCCGCCTTCCCAGTTTGGTTCAAATAACTGAATTCAGAATCATAGTATTACTGTAGGATGGGGCTCTTTGTTGTCACTATTGTGACCTGTAAATAAGGACTTTTCCGGTTTCTTCTGATTCCAAAACACGGCTACAAACTCCACACACAACGGAAGCTTTCATTCCTGAACTCAGACACCTATGAGACGTTTGTGATGCATTTAAATTCTGAATCATATTTGTGTTATTTAACACCAACTGCAGTAGTAACGAGACGTGAGACAAACTAGGAATAAGGGTGAAATCGTTTATATTACTGACCTTTGATTGGAAACTGTCAAAGTTCTTTGCTGACATCAGTGACTCTTTATCTCGTGGCCAAACAGCTTCCTCAAATCCAGAAACTGAAAAACCTTCCCTTCCAGTCTCTTTGTTAATCCAGTTTTTGAGCAGTTTTACTTTCTGCACAAACGGCTAATGCTACGATGCTAACTTAGCATTGCGTTTATTTTATATTGGAGAAAATGGTTCAGTTGTGGGGGTCATATTCACTTCGATCAGGCCAAACTGCCGCCCGCTGTGTCATGTTCTGTGGTCTTCTCCCGCTAACACAAACTAGCCATTGAGGGCCTTGCACAGTGTCATCCAGCCAACTTCAGCTCCACCAGTGTAGTCATGGTCGTAAAGATCAGAACCTCTTGAATCCAGTCGTCAACTGTTTTTATAAACTGACATTTGTTTTTGATCATGTCTCATAAGTCGCTAAGGTGAGTTTATTTGTATGGCACAGTTCATACAAAAGGCAAACAAACAGACAAGGCATTAAAATCCTAAACATTGCTCCAGATTTTAGCTGCATGAATCTGAAATGCTACCTCCCCAGGTTTAGTCCTGACTCTTAAGGAGCACAGGGATTGGCCTCCTGCTGGTCCCAGAGCCCGAGTCAGTTCATATGACACTAACATGTCACAGATGTTCTTCGGTGTGAGGCCCTGGAGAGAGACGTACACGAGCAGAGCTGCTTTAAAGCCTTTAAACACATACATACAGACCAAAAGGACCACAGAGTGAAGAGGCTAACAAGTGCTACGCATCTCTTTTTTTCCCCCTAGTTTTGTCGTTAATGATTTGAGAATCATAACGAGACCTTTTTTAGTTCTGCGCCACATGGTACTTTACCAGTGAGATTGGCTCCACGCAGTGAGTTCTGGCGTCCGGATCACAGACTTTCTGATTGGTGAAACGGTGGAGGGCGGGACATCGAAATGAAAACAATAACAAGATTTAGAGGCTGGAAAAGTAATTTAGAAATTCAAATATCTCTGAACTACTGTTATCAGTTAAAGAAGGATTGGAAAAGAGCAGTTTATTATTATGACAGATTAGGGCCCTTTAATGAGGACAGATTAGAGCCCTTTAATGATGACAGATTAGGGCCCTTTAATGATGACAGATTAGGGCCCTTTAATGATGACAGATTAGGGCTCTTTAATGATGACAGATTAGGGCCCTTTAATGATGACAGATTAGGGCCCTTTAATGATGACATATTAGGGCCCTTTAATGATGACAGATTAGGGCCCTTTAATGATGACAGATTAGGGGCCTTTAATGATGACAGATTAGAGCCCTTTAATGATGACAGATTAGGGCCCTTTAATGATGACAGATTAGGGCCCTTTAATGATGACAGATTAGGGCCCTTTAATGATGACAGATTAGGGCCCTTTAATGATGACAGATTAGGGGCCTTTAATGATGACAGATTAGGGCTCTTTAATGATGACTTGACAATGAAAAAATCTAGTGGATTATAATTAAATCACATCAGTTGAAGCCACTGCTGCTGAGATAATCCTGTGACTTAGGTTCAGGTGTGTACCTTATTATCTTAGTGTGTAAACAAAGGAATGAGACTTTCTGGTGTGTAAACTATTTCTTTAAGCAGCAATGACAACTGTATGATTTTTGTGTGTGACAAGCGAGCTGTCAATCACAGCCCAGACCACGCCCAACTTTAAGCCCCCCTTCTTGTCCCTTGGTCCTCGGGCAACGGCCTTTTTAGAGAAAATGTTCATGTGGGTGAAGTAAGGCTGTGCTTCTTTCCGCAGGTGTACAACGGGGCCCCGACACTTCCCGCTCTCACTGCCTCCGCCCACTTCCTGGCCCCCGGCTTGAGCAGCAGCGTGAGCCCGTCTGTGTCCGGTCACTCTGGCCTGACCGCGGTGGTGGCTCCTCTGGCCTCCGTGTCGTCTCCGGCCGCACACATGGCGCTCTCCGCGCCGCTGGTCACCGGGCTGGGAGGGGCCGGCGCCGGGCTGCTGTCCCAGATCCACGCCACGTCCTGGGACCCCACCATGAGCACGGACTGGGACAGCGAGAAGGCGTCGCAGCAGTGTATACTCAGGATAAAGAGGTTTGACCGGTTGTTCCTTCTTCAGAAACACACCTGGGGTTGTTTTTAGCTCCATCCATGCAAGCGCTGGGCAATACATCAGATTAATGTAGTTTTGAAAATATCTGACGTGATCAAAGACGTGAATTCAGATTGTTGTTTGTATAAAACAGTTCATACACAAGGAAACTTAAACTCAGGCTAAACAAAACAAGATATAAACAATCACACAAGGCGTTAAAATCATTAATTATCACGATACATTATAAACAGTGATCAGTTGTTGCAGCGAAACAGAACTGTTTTTAACCTGGATTTGAACATTGTCAGAGAAAAAGTCTGTCAAATTTTCAGGAAGACTGTTCCAGTCCTGACTCTGGGTCCAGCAGGAGGCCAGTCCCTGTGCTCCTCAGAGTCAGACTCTAACATGTCACAGATGGACTTTGAGGCCAAGGAGAGACTTGTAACAGAGCTGCTTTAAAGTCTATTCTCTGAGCCGCAGGTGCAGGTGAGACCAGGACTACTGTGATGGTACTTCCTGGTTCTAGTCAGGACTAATGTGATGGTACTTCCTGGTTCCAGTCAGGACTACTGTGATGGTACTTCCTGGTTCTAGTCAGGACTACTGTGATGGTACTTCCTGGTTCTAGTCAGGACTAATGTGATGGTACTTCCTGGTTCTAGTCCGGACTGGTGCTGCAGTGTTTTGTGGGGGTGGGAACCTAAGGGTACCTCACGATATGATACGATACAATACAAAGCTCACGGTAACAATAATATCACAATAACTATTTTATCACGATATGACGATTATCGATATATTGGTCAGAAATATACCATATGCCAATTTATGGAATAAATAAAAGAAAAAGTGTGTTTTTTCACTTAACATTTATTTAGTGATAAATGGAATGGAGATTCGTAATGTAGCCATATATTAAGTATTGATACTAATAAAAAAATTGATACTTGGCAAATGCATATCGATAATCGAATCGCGGGAGAAAGTATCGCGATATATAGATATTGCGATATATCGTCACACCCCTAGTGTTTTGACTAAACTGCAGATGTTTACAGCATGTTTGGAGAGATCTGTGAGCCGCTGTTACAGTCTAACACTGGAGACAAATGCAGTCTGCTTTAGACGCTATATTTTGATTCTGGAAATGTTTTCAGATGGTAAAAAGCTCCTGATGTCACTGGTTTGATGTGGCTGTTAAAATGTAAGGTGGAATCCATAATAACTCCTAGATTTCTGACCTGAGGATAGTGTTTCTTTTAGCCTCTGAAGTTCTTCTGTAAATGGAGCAGTCCACAAAGAACTGTTTTCAAAAGCACAGCATCAGTTATATTTCAGATAGCAGCGTCTACAAGACTTTTGATTGGAAATATAAATTAAAAAAAATTATTTTCAAAATTCAAATTTTTGACTTTGGTTGAAATTTATAGTAATTGTCCAAAGGCGGTTGTTAAATGGAGATGATAGTAACATTGTTGACGAGGGAAGAGTGTGATAAGGCCCCTCGGAGCTAAGGCCCCTCTGAGCTAAGGCCCCTCTGAGCTAAGGCCCCTCTGAGCTAAGGCCCCTCGGAGCTAAGGCCCCTCTGAGCTAAGGGCCCTGTGTGCTTTGTGCAGAGACATCATGTCCATTTACAAGGAGCCTCCTCCGGGGATGTTCGTGGTGCCAGATCCTCAGGACATGACCAAGGTAAGCCCCACCATGAGACCAACTGTGATGTCACTTCACTAAAGACGACGCCTGAAAAGTAAAGGATTCATGTGCTTCATCTGATTGATCGACTTTTCAAATGTGATTCATCTCATTGTGATTTTAAAGGCTGTATTTAAACACACTGTGATGTAAAGCTCAAAGTTTGTTGAGAAATACATAAATAATTTCACATTCTAAAACTGAAATGCCAAAGTTAATATTCTTCAGACACAATATTCTTGAACACAATATATTTGTGTATTTTTGAGATGGCAGAAGAAGTGGCAATTTGAGAATGGAGGAAATCTGAGGCAGTAAATCCAAATGGAACATCCCTAAACTCCCAAAGTAGTCAAGTTGTCATGTGTTGTGGTTATTATTATTAGTATGCATTTCTTTTGTTTTTTTGATTAATTACTAATTACTAAGTTTAGATGTTTTGAACGTTGTACCCATCACAAGGGAAAGGGGGATGTGGTGGACAAAAAGAAAAGTGTGATGCATGTCAACCAGTGCAAAAATGTAAATACATCGTAACGCTTGAATTAAAAAAAATTATCACAAAAAAGTGATCAGAATCAGAATCCTTTTTATTGTCATGTGAGTAACGGGAAGTCACAAACTAGGAAATAGCTTTGGCTCTCGGTGCAAAGAAGGCATGCATGAATAAAACTCTACATAAATGTCTTCAGTTTACTATATACAAGTGCAGTAGGTGCGCACAATAGACCGTTAAGAGTGCGGTTGAGTGCAGTAAAGTGACAGATGTGTTTTCAAATAGGAACGGGCGTGACCAGACGCCTATAGCCTCAAAAAATAAATCATAAATATTTTGAGCGGGCCGATAGATTAAAACCAATGGGATGCGTTCTCCCTCCTGCTTTTTCTCACCTGAGTTGTTGTTGAGAGTCGCATTTTCTAAAATACTTACAATGTTCACGTTTGCCACTCGCCCTGTTGTGGCAAAGAGAAGAAAATCAAATAAGGAAAAGGCTTTGTATATTCTAAAATTCTTGTTAATCCTTGTAGAGAAGACTCAGGACACAGCCAGGGCAAAAACTCGAGTCAACATCAGGACATGCTACGGCTAAGCTAACCTGGATCCTTTACTGCAGGGGTCTCCAAACTGGTCCAGAAAGGGCCGCTGTGGCTGCAGGTTTTCTATCAGGCCCAACAGGAGCAGAGTAGACTCCACCCATTTCCTCAAGAGAGTTCAGTCTTAACCTGAAGATTTGAGGAAATGGGTGGAGTCTGCTTTGCTCCTGTTGGGTCTGATAGAAAACCAGCAGCCACAGCGGATCTTTCTGGACTGGTTTGGACGCCCCTGTTTTACTGCACCTTTAATGAACAGGGACTTTAGTGTTTCAGGGCATGTGGTAGAAATGGGTTAAATGTGATCTACACAAGTCCGAGGCATTTGCGGTGTTGGTCTGTAATCTTTCGCTGTGGTTGTGTGTTCGCTGCCCCTGGTGCAGATCCACGCCCTGATCACGGGGCCCTTCGACACGCCGTACGAGGGCGGCTTCTTCCTCTTCCTGTTCCGCTGCCCGCCGGACTACCCCATCCACCCGCCGCGCGTCAAGCTCATCACCACCGGACACAACACCGTACGCTTCAACCCCAACTTCTACCGCAACGGGAAGGTCTGCCTCAGCATCCTGGGGTAAGGACACACGCACACAGGTTCTCCAAACACACACTTACACAACCTCTCCAAACACACGCACACAGGCTCTCCAAACACACGCACACAGGCTCTCCAAACACACGCACACAGGCTCTCCAAACACACAGGCTCTCCAAACACACACGCACACAGGCTCTCCTAACACACACACACATGCACACACGCACACAACCTCTCCAAACACACTTACACAACCTCTCCACGCACACACGCACACAGGCTCTCCAAACACACACATACACAGCCTCTGCAAACGCGGACGCACAAACACACACACACATAAATGCAATGATGGGACATAAATAGAGGTGCAACGGTTCATCACTGATCCGTGATCCGTTCGGTTCAACGTCTTCGGTTCGGTACAGACGTGATCCGCGGTTTGATTTATGAAAAAAAAGTTGTGCGCACGTTGTTCAGTCCACACACAGCGCGGTCATTGCGAGCAGAGGAACGGAGGAGCTTGAAAGCCCTGCGTCATTTAAATCCCCAGTATGAGAGCATTTTGGCTTCACTGTAACTACACTGATAATTAGTATTCGACAAAACTGTCACAGTGTAAACACTGGCACAAGAAAGACATGAGTGAAAAAAGCGTCTCAACGTCCGCTTATTGCCGCGGTGTTTAAGCAGCTCCTTTAAGCTCCTTTAAGCGGTCAGACCGGGCTAAAGTATACTCTCCCGCGCATCTTCAGCTGCGCTCACGACTGACGCTTGGACGTCCAGCGGAACCTATAATAGATCAATGAGCAGAACGGAGAACTTCATCCCCGCAGACTGGGAGATGAAAAGTCTGGCGCTACAGACACGCCCCCTCTACGACAGTCACACAGACACACAGCACAGGTACTGACACACAGCACAGGTACTGACACACAGCACAGGTACTGACACACAGCACAGGTACAGACACACAGCACAGGTACAGACACACAGCACAGGTACTGACACAGCAGCGGAGGAATGGAAGACAAAGGCCCAGTACTAATATCCCAGTCACAACTGATAATGCCAAAAATTAAATAAATGCAGTGAATGAGGCTGGGCCCAGAATGGACCCCCTCCTCGGGAGAATCAGGAAGGGGAATTTAATATATGAGGGTAAATATCCTCATAAAGTGCCTTCTTATGTTGCACTTTGTGTTGTTTTTCACTGATTATGTTAAATAGTCATAATTGGATGGATGGAATATGCCTTCCATCCATCCATCCATGTTCTTCCCCTTAATTCATTTCTAGGTCAGGGGGGGCAGTCAGAGCAGGTACCGAGTCCACATGAGCCATGTTTATTAAAAAGACACAACTTTTTTTTTGAAAAATGAACCGAACCGTGATTTTTTTCAAACCGTTGCACCCCTAGACATAAATGTTAAATGTACAAATTGTGTTCAATCCAGAGATTTCAACAGTGCAGTTTCCCGCTCACACCAGCAGATGGCAGACTTTAGTTTAGCTGTTGTGGTTCACAGAGGCCTGTTGTGTTTGTTGTTGTGGTTCACAGAGGTCTGTTGTGTTTGCAGCACGTGGACTGGTCCGGCCTGGAGTCCGGCTCAGAGCATCTCGTCTGTGCTCATCTCCATCCAGTCCCTGATGACGGAGAACCCCTACCACAACGAGCCCGGCTTCGAGCAGGTGACGCAGCGGGCCTTCAACCATTCTCTTCTTCTCTTACACCACTTCTCCCACTGCTGCTACTGCTCATAAGCGGCGGATTGTCTTTCATTTGTGCCAAAATGTCCTTGTGATGTTGCTGATTCATCACAAGATCACAATGGCATGCTACGATCCAAAACTTTATTATGTTAAAGATAGAGATTTTGATGCTAGAGTTAGAGATTTTGCTTTATTTTGATTTGTATAGTTATTGTTCTTGGGCTGCTTATTCCTAATGTTCTGTAACTTGTGATGCAACACTGAAATTTCCCTGCTGTGGGACCAATAAAGGATCTCTTCATCTTAAAACTGTATTTTAATATGTAATTTATGATTGTATTGTTGAGAACTACAGATGGAAAGTTGGTGGTTCTAAACCTTTTTTTCACAGGTAAATAACTAACTGCTGTGTTTTGACGCTGTTGTGTGTCGTGCAGGAGCGCCACCCAGGGGACAGTAAGAACTACAACGAGTGCATCCGCCACGAGACCATGAGGGTCGCTGTGTGTGACATGCTGGAGGGGAAGGTGCCCTGTCCCGACGCACTCTGGTACTGCTGCTACACACTAGTATAGTGTGTAACGGTGTTGTGTGCTGTAGTATAGTGTGTAACGGTGTTGTGTGCTGTAGTATAGTGTGTAACGGTGTTGTTTGCTGTAGTATAGTGTGTAACAGTGTTTGTAACAGTGTTGCGTGCTGTAGTAGTGTGTAACAGGGTTGTGTGCTGTAGTAGTGTGTAACAGTGTTGTGTGCTTTAACGCTGTTGTGTGCTGTAATAGTGTGTAACAGTGTTGTGTGCTGTATAGTGTGTAACGGTGTTGTGTGCTGTAGTATAGTGTGTAACAGTGTTGTGTGCTTTAACGCTGTTGTGTGCTGTAATAGTGTGTAACAGTGTTGTGTGCTGTAATAGTGTGTAACGGTGTTGTGTGCTGTAGTATAGTGTGTAACAGTGTTGTGTGCTGTAGTAATAGTGTGTAACAGTGTTGTGTGCTGTAATAGTGTGTAACAGTGTTGTGTGCTGTAATAGTGTGTAACGGTGTTGTGTGCTGTAGTATAGTGTGTAACGCTGTTGTGTGCTGTAATAGTGTGTAACAGTGTTGTGTGCTGTAGTAGTGTGTAACGGTGTTGTGTGCTGTAGTATAGTGTGTAACGGTGTTGTGTGCTGTAGTAGTGTGTAACGGTGTTGTGTGCTGTAGTATAGTGTGTAACGGTGTTGTGTGCTGTAGTATAGTGTGTAACAGTGTTGTGTGCTGTAGTAGTATAGTTTGTAACGGTGTTGTGTGCTTTAACGGTGTTGTGTGCTGTGTGTAATAGTGTGTGTAACAGTTGTGTGCTGTAATAGTGTGTGTAACGATGTTGTGTGCTGTAGTGTGTGTAACAGTGTTGTGTGCTGTAGTAGTAATGTTGTGTGCTGTAGTAGTAGTGTGTAACAGTGTTGTGTGCTGTAGTAGTGTGTAACGGTGTTGTGTGCTGTAGTAGTGTGTAACAGTGTTGTGTGCTGTAGTATAGTGTGTAACGTGTTGTGTGCTGTAGTATAGTGTGTAACAGTGTTGTGTGCTGTAGTAGTATAGTGTGTAACAGTGTTGTGTGCTGTAGTAGTATAGTGTGTAACGGTGTTGTGTGCTGTAGTAGTATAGTGTGTAACAGTGTTGTGTGCTGTAGTAGTATAGTGTGTAACAGTGTTGTGTGCTGTAGTAGTATAGTGTGTAACGTGTTGTGTGCTGTAGTAGTATAGTGTGTAACGGTGTTGTGTGCTGTAGTAGTATAGTGTGTAACGGTGTTGTGTGCTGTAGTAGTATAGTGTGTAACGGTGTTGTGTGCTGTAGTATAGTGTGTAACGGTGTTGTGTGCTGTAGTATAGTGTGTAACGGTGTTGTGTGCTGTAGTATAGTGTGTAACGGTGTTGTGTGCTGTAGTAGTATGTGTGTAACGGTGTTGTGTGCTGTAGTAGTATAGTGTGTAACGGTGTTGTGTGCTGTAGTATAGTGTGTAACGGTGTTGTGTGCTGTAGTATAGTGTGTAACGGTGTTGTTTGCTGTAGTAGTATAGTGTGTAACGGTGTTGTGTGCTGTAGTAGTATAGTGTGTAACGGTGTTGTGTGCTGTAGTAGTATGGTGTGTAACGGTGTTGTGTGCTGTAGTATAGTGTGTAACGGTGTTGTGTGCTGTAGTAGTATAGTGTGTAACGGTGTTGTGTGTGCTGTAGTATAGTGTGTAACGGTGTTGTGTGCTGTAGTATAGTGTGTAACGGTGTTGTTTGCTGTAGTATAGTGTGTAACAGTGTGTGTGTGCTGTAGTAGTATAGTTTGTAACGGTGTTGTGTGCTTTAACGGTGTTGTGTGCTTACGGTGTTGTGTGCTGTAACAGTGTTGTGTGCTATACAGTGTTGTGTGCTATAACAGTGTTGTGTGCTGTAGTAGTGTGTAACAGTGTTGTGTTCTGTAGTGTGTAACTGTGTTGTGTGCTGTAGCAGTGTGTAACAGTGTTGTGTGCTGTAGTGTGTAACTGCTGTGTGCTGTAGTGTGCAACTGCTGTGTGCTGTAGTAGTGTGTAACTGTGCTGTGTGCTGTAGTAGTGTGTAACAGTGTTGTGTGCTGTAGTAGTATAGTGTGTAACGGTGTTGTGTGCTGTAGTAGTGTGTAACAGTGTTGTGTGCTGTAGTAGTATAGTGTGTAACGGTGTTGTGTGCTGTAGTATAGTGTGTAACGGTGTTGTGTGCTGTAGTAGTATAGTGTGTAACGGTGTTGTGTGCTGTAGTAGTATAGTGTGTAACGGTGTTGTGTGCTGTAGTATAGTGTGTAACGGTGGTGTGTGCTGTAGTATAGTGTGTAACGGTGTTGTGTGCTGTAGTAGTATAGTGTGTAACAGTGTTGTGTGCTGTAGTAGTATAGTGTGTAACAGTGTTGTGTGCTGTAGTATTATAGTGTGTAACGGTGTTGTGTGCTTTAACGGTGTTGTGTGCTTTAACAGTGTTGTGTGCTGTAGTAGTATAGTGTGTAACGGTGTTGTGTGCTGTAGTAGTATAGTGTGTAACGGTGTTGTGTGCTGTAGTAGTATAGTGTGTAACAGTGTTGTGTGCTGTAGTAGTATAGTGTGTAACGGTGTTGTGTGCTGTAGTAGTATAGTGTGTAACGGTGTTGTGTGCTGTAGTAGTATAGTGTGTAACGGTGTTGTGTGCTGTAGTATAGTGTGTAACAGTGTTGTGTGCTGTAGTATAGTGTGTAACGGTGTTGTGTGCTGTAGTATAGTGTGTAACAGTGTTGTGTGCTGTAGTAGTATAGTGTGTAACAGTGTTGTGTGCTGTAGTAGTATAGTGTGTAACGGTGTTGTGTGCTGTAGTAGTATAGTGTGTAACGGTGTTGTGTGCTGTAGTAGTATAGTGTGTAACAGTGTTGTGTGCTGTAGTAGTATAGTGTGTAACGGTGTTGTGTGCTGTAGTATAGTGTGTAACGGTGTTGTGTGCTGTAGTATAGTGTGTAACGGTGTTGTTTGCTGTAGGATAGTGTGTAACAGTGTTGTGTGCTGTAGTAGTATAGTGTGTAACGGTGTTGTGTGCTGTAGTATAGTGTGTAACGGTGTTGTGTGCTGTAGTATAGTGTGTAACGGTGTTGTGTGCTGTAGTAGTATAGTGTGTAACGGTGTTGTGTGCTGTAGTAGTATAGTGTGTAACAGTGTTGTGTGTTGGTAGTAGTATGGTGTGTAACGGTGTTGTGTGCTGTAGTAGTATAGTGTGTAACAGTGTTGTGTGCTGTAGTAGTATAGTGTGTAACGGTGTTGTTTGCTGTAGGATAGTGTGTAACAGTGTTGTGTGCTGTAGTAGTATAGTTTGTAACGGTGTTGTGTGCTTTAACGGTGTTGTGTGCTTTAACGGTGTTGTGTGCTGTAACAGTGTTGTGTGCTATAACAGTGTTGTGTGCTATAACAGTGTTGTGTGCTGTAGTAGTGTGTAACAGTGTTGTGTTCTGTAGTGTGTAACTGTGTTGTGTGCTGTAGCAGTGTGTAACAGTGTTGTGTGCTGTAGTGTGTAACTGTGCTGTGTGCTGTAGTAGTGTGTAACAGTGTTGTGTGCTGTAGTAGTATAGTGTGTAACGGTGTTGTGTGCTGTAGTAGTATAGTGTGTAACGGTGTTGTGTGCTGTAGTAGTATAGTGTGTAACGGTGTTGTGTGCTGTAGTAGTATAGTGTGTAACGGTGTTGTGTGCTGTAGTAGTATAGTGTGTAACGGTGTTGTGTGCTGTAGTAGTATAGTGTGTAACGGTGTTGTGTGCTGTAGTAGTATAGTGTGTAACGGTGTTGTGTGCTGTAGTAGTATAGTGTGTAACAGTGTTGTGTGCTGTAGTAGTATAGTGTGTAACAGTGTTGTGTGCTGTAGTAGTATAGTGTGTAACGGTGTTGTGTGCTGTAGTAGTATAGTGTGTAACGGTGTTGTGTGCTGTAGTAGTATAGTGTGTAACAGTGTTGTGTGCTGTAGTAGTATAGTGTGTAACGGTGTTGTGTGCTGTAGTAGTATAGTGTGTAACGGTGTTGTGTGCTGTAGTATAGTGTGTAACGGTGTTGTGTGCTGTAGTAGTATAGTGTGTAACGGTGTTGTGTGCTGTAGTATAGTGTGTAACGGTGTTGTGTGCTGTAGTAGTATAGTGTGTAACGGTGTTGTGTGCTGTAGTAGTATGGTGTGTAACGGTGTTGTGTGCTGTAGTAGTATAGTGTGTAACTGTGTTGTGTGCTGTAGTAGTATGGTGTGTAACGGTGTTGTGTGCTGTAGTAGTATAGTGTGTAACTGTGTTGTGTGCTGTAGTAGTATGGTGTGTAACGGTGTTGTGTGCTGTAGTATAGTGTGTAACGGTGTTGTGTGCTGTAGTAGTATGGTGTGTAACGGTGTTGTGTGCTGTAGTAGTATAGTGTGTAACGGTGTTGTGTGCTGTAGTATAGTGTGTAACGGTGTTGTGTGCTGTAGTATAGTGTGTAACGGTGTTGTGTGCTGTAGTAGTATAGTTTGTAACGGTGTTGTGTGCTGTAGTATAGTGTGTAACGGTGTTGTGTGCTGTAGTAGTATAGTGTGTAACAGTGTTGTGTGCTGTAGTAGTATAGTGTGTAACGGTGTTGTGTGCTGTAGTAGTGTGTAACAGTGTTGTGTGCTGTAGTAGTATAGTGTGTAACGGTGTTGTGTGCTGTAGTATAGTGTGTAACGGTGTTGTGTGCTGTAGTATAGTGTGTAACGGTGTTGTGTGCTGTAGTAGTATAGTGTGTAACGGTGTTGTGTGCTGTAGTAGTATGGTGTGTAACGGTGTTGTGTGCTGTAGTATTATAGTGTGTAACAGTGTTGTGTGCTGTAGTAGTATAGTGTGTAACGGTGTTGTGTGCTGTAGTATAGTGTGTAACGGTGTTGTGTGCTGTAGTAGTATAGTGTGTAACGGTGTTGTGTGCTGTAGTAGTATGGTGTGTAACGGTGTTGTGTGCTGTAGTAGTATGGTGTGTAACGGTGTTGTGTGCTGTAGTAGTATAGTGTGTAACGGTGTTTTGTGCTGTAGTATTATAGTGTGTAACGGTGTTGTGTGCTGTAGTAGTATAGTGTGTAACGGTGTTGTGTGCTGTAGTAGTATAGTGTGTAACGGTGTTGTGTGCTGTAGTATAGTGTTTAACGGTGTTGTGTGCTGTAGTATTATAGTGTGTAACGTGTTGTGTGCTGTAGTAGTGTGTAACAGTGTTGTGTGCTGTAGTAGTGTGTAACGGTGTTGTGTGCTGTAGTAGTATAGTGTGTAACGGTGTTGTGTGCTGTAGTAGTATAGTGTGTAACGGTGTTGTGTGCTGTAGTAGTATAGTGTGTAACGGTGTTGTGTGCTGTAGTAGTATAGTGTGTAACGGTGTTGTGTGCTGTAGTAGTATAGTGTGTAACGGTGTTGTGTGCTGTAGTAGTATAGTGTGTAACGGTGTTGTGTGCTGTAGTATAGTGTGTAACGGTGTTGTGTGCTGTAGTATAGTGTGTAACGGTGTTGTGTGCTGTAGTATAGTGTGTAACGGTGTTGTGTGCTGTAGTAGTATGGTGTGTAACGGTGTTGTGTGCTGTCGTAGTATAGTGTGTAACAGTGTTGTGTGCTGTAGTATAGTGTGTAACGGTGTTGTGTGCTGTAGTAGTATAGTGTGTAACGGTGTTGTGTGCTGTAGTATAGTGTGTAACGGTGTTGTGTGCTGTAGTATAGTGTGTAACGGTGTTGTGTGCTGTAGTATAGTGTGTAACAGTGTTGTGTGCTGTAGTAGTATAGTGTGTAGCAGTGTTGTGTGCTGTAGTAGTATAGTGTGTAACGGTGTTGTGTGCTGTAGTAGTATAGTGTGTAACAGTGTTGTGTGCTGTAGTATAGTGTGTAACGGTGTTGTGTGCTGTAGTAGTATAGTGTGTAACAGTGTTGTGTGCTGTAGTAGTATAGTGTGTAACAGTGTTGTGTGCTGTAGTAGTATAGTGTGTAGCAGTGTTGTGTGCTGTAGTAGTATAGTGTGTAACAGTGTTGTGTGCTGTAGTAGTATAGTGTGTAACAGTGTTGTGTGCTGTAGTAGTATAGTGTGTAACAGTGTTGTGTGCTGTAGTAGTATAGTGTGTAACAGTGTTGTGTGCTGTAGTAGTATAGTGTGTAACAGTGTTGTGTGTTGGTAGTAGTATAGTGTGTAACGGTGTTGTGTGCTGTAGTAGTATGGTGTGTAACGGTGTTGTGTGCTGTAGTAGTATAGTGTGTAACGGTGTTGTGTGCTGTAGTAGTATAGTGTGTAACGGTGTTGTGTGCTGTAGTAGTATAGTGTGTAACGGTGTTGTGTGCTGTAGTAGTATGGTGTGTAACGGTGTTGTGTGCTGTAGTAGTATGGTGTGTAATGGTGTTGTGTGTTGCTGCAGGAGCGTCATGGAGAAGTCGTTCCTGGAGTACTATGACTTCTACGAGAGCGTGTGTAAGGAGCGGCAGCACCTTCAGGGCCAGAACATGCAGGTCTGTTCACAATGATCCATGGAAACACAAAGTACATGTTAAAACACTGGAGAACACTTCTGCATCAGTCTCTGAAGCACAACATATACATTTGTGTTCTCTTTCTGTGGTCTTACTCTGGTCTCTCTGTGTGGTCTTACTCTGGTCTCTCTGTGTGGTCTTCCTCTGGTCTCTCTGTGTGGTCTTCCTCTGGTCTCTCTGTGGTCTTCCTCTGGTCTCTCTGTGGTCTTACTCTGGTCTCTCTGTGTGGTCTTCCTCTGGTCTCTCTGTGTGGTCTTCCTCTGGTCTCTCTGTGTGGTCTTACTCTGGTCTCTCTGTGTGGTCTTCCTCTGGTCTCTCTGTGTGGTCTTACTCTGGTCTCTCTGTGTGGTCTTCCTCTGGTCTCTCTGTGTGGTCTTCCTCTGGTCTCTCTGTGGTCTTCCTCTGGTCTCTCTGTGGTCTTACTCTGGTCTCTCTGTGGTCTTACTCTGGTCTCTCTGTGTGGTCTTCCTCTGGTCTCTCTGTGGTCTTCCTCTGGTCTCTCTGTGTGGTCTTCCTCTGGTCTCTCTGTGTGGTCTTCCTCTGGTCTCTCTGTGTGGTCTTCCTCTGGTCTCTCTGTGTGGTCTTCCTCTGGTCTCTCTGTGTGGTCTTACTCTGGTCTCTGTGTGGTCTTACTCTGGTCTCTCTGTGTGGTCTTACTCTGGTCTCTCTGTGTGGTCTTACTCTGGTCTCTCTGTGGTCTTCCTCTGGTCTCTCTGTGTGGTCTTCCTCTGGTCTCTCTGTAGTCTTCCTCTGGTCTCTCTGTGGTCTTCCTCTGGTCTCTGTGGTCTTCCTCTGGTCTCTGTGGTCTTCCTCTGGTCTCTCTGTAGTCTTCCTCTGGTCTCTCTGTAGTCTTCCTCTGGTCTCTCTGTGGTCTTACTCTGGTCTCTCTGTGGTCTTACTCTGGTCTCTCTGTGGTCTTACTCTGGTCTCTCTGTGGTCTTACTCTGGTCTCTCTGTGTGGTCTTCCTCTGGTCTCTCTGTGTGGTCTTCCTCTGGTCTCTCTGTGTGGTCTTCCTCTGGTCTCTCTGTGGTCTTACTCTGGTCTCTCTGTGTGGTCTTACTCTGGTCTCTCTGTGTGGTCTTCCTCTGGTCTCTCTGTGTGGTCTTCCTCTGGTCTCTCTGTGGTCTTACTCTGGTCTCTGTGGTCTTCCTCTGGTCTCTCTGTAGTCTTCCTCTGGTCTCTCTGTGGTCTTCCTCTGGTCTCTCTGTGGTCTTCCTCTGGTCTCTGTGGTCTTACTCTGGTCTCTCTGTGGTCTTACTCTGGTCTCTGTGGTCTTCCTCTGGTCTCTCTGTAGTCTTCCTCTGGTCTCTCTGTGGTCTTCCTCTGGTCTCTCTGTAGTCTTCCTCTGGTCTCTCTGTAGTCTTCCTCTGGTCTCTCTGTGTGGTCTTCCTCTGGTCTCTCTGTGGTCTTACTCTGGTCTCTCTGTGGTCTTACTCTGGTCTCTGTGGTCTTCCTCTGGTCTCTCTGTAGTCTTCCTCTGGTCTCTCTGTGGTCTTCCTCTGGTCTTTGTGGTCTTCCTCTGGTCTCTGTGGTCTTCCTCTGGTCTCTCTGTGTGGTCTTCCTCTGGTCTCTCTGTGTGGTCTTCCTCTGGTCTCTCTGTGTGGTCTTCCTCTGGTCTCTCTGTGGTCTTACTCTGGTGTCTCTGTGGTCTTCCTCTGGTGTCTCTGTAGTCTTCCTCTGGTCTCTCTGTGTGGTCTTCCTCTGGTCTCTCTGTGTGGTCTTCCTCTGGTCTCTCTGTGGTCTTACTCTGGTCTCTCTGTGTGGTCCTCCTCTGGTCTCTCTGTGGTCTTACTCTGGTCTCTCTGTCTGTGGTCTTCCTCTGGTCTCTGTGGTCTTCCTCTGGTCTCTCTGTGGTCTTCCTCTGGTCTCCCCCCAGCTTTAACAGTGTAGTTCCATGTGTTGTGTTTGTGCAGGACCCCTTTGGGGAGAAGCGGGGCCGATTCGACTACCAGGGTCTGCTGTCACGGCTCGGGGCCACACAACGGCGAGTCCGGGACAAGATGTTATCAGAGGTGCCCAACGATGACGAGCACTCGGACTCTGACAGTACGTCCAGTGGGACAGATCCAGACAGCCAGGGCAGCTCCCAGCCCTGAGTCCCTGAGGCCCCTGAGGCCCTGGGGCCCTCACTGTGGGAGACATGGACCTGATGGAGTAGATGTGTTGTCCTTCAGGTGGAGATCAGACTGCGCTGCAGGATCTCTACAGGAGAAACTGACCACATTTCTTTATTTGAGTTAGAAGTGATTTATCGACTTGCAGCTTAAAAATGGTTCATGTTTATTATCAAAACCATCTTTCCATCGGGAAGGACAGGGTTTCTTTTTCATTCTTGAAAATGAAAAAAGTCATCGATGCATCAAGTTTGTGTTTGCTCCTGCACTGCACACAAGGACCATAACGGTTCATTATCCCGATCACCATGGTTACATGCGACTGTCTTAAAGACAAATGTCACATTGTCTAATTCTATGTTTGGAAAAGGAATAGAATTGAAATATTTATACAATAGTCCTTATTTTAGGAATGTATGATAGGTGGCAATTGTAAACCTCGACTACACTGAGAAAAAGTGAAATCATAATTATAGAAATACTAACTAAATTAAAACGCAGTGAGATTAAGGACGACAATCTTCAAATTAGCCGTTAGCCTTAGCTTAGCGTGTGTCGGAGGTCTTTCACCCTGACTTCTTGTCGCAGACCTTTTGTTTCCCGTGTGCAGCGCCTCCTTTCGCCGTTACTACACTTTTCACTGCCTCTGTCTGGAGCTTGTGCTGTTTTTATCCCAGTCTGTGTTTGGAAAAACCGCTGCGAATGCTGAAATGTGTGTCTGTTAGAACGCAAGAGAGCCACAGTCACCCAGCAGATAATGCTACCATCATTAGCATTAGCTGTTAGCTCATTTACTTTCCCTGGAGTTGTCTTTTAATGATATGAGTCCTTTCTTCAGTTTGTGCACTTAAATTTGCTGCTTACTTTGTTTGACCTAAGTTTAAAACAACTGGACAAGCTGCACCTAGTGTTAGCATCAGTACGCATTAGCAAGCATTACTTTGAAAAACAGGCCGATGAATGCGAGAAATGGCATTAACATTAGCAGCTATTGGCATCAAGAACCGTTTGCAGTAGCACTTATTAGCTTAACAACGCGCATCCTCTTGGCTTCCATTTTGTACTTTTTTGTTGTTTTTAATTTCAAAATGGTGGCCACTTCTTACATGCAGCATTAAATTGTTTTGGGTTTTTCCCAACAATGTTTAAATGCAAAAGTCTTTTTTTTTTTTAATTGCAAATCATTTCTTGTCTTTAACTTCTTGTTGTGGTCAGCTGACAACATTCTAATCATCACAAATACTTGCTCCGGGAGAATTCTATAAAAGAAACACGGGTAAAATGGATACGTGTGTTTTAATCCACTTTCCGAGTTGATGAGAGAAAAAGCCCTGTTTCTACTTGGCCTGGCTCAGCTCTGCTCTACCTGGTTCTGTTTCCATTACACTTTGGTACCATACGCTACAACCTACAGACAACTAACCACACTTCGGGGACATTCCTTGGTAACCATGGCTTCCAGCAGCACTCCAACCAATCACCGTCAGAGAAGCCCCCTTTCCAGTCTGCTCCGAGACCAGGTCCTTCTTTAGTCCCTCTTGGTCCTTGTTGTATCCAGGCCGAGTTGGTTCTAAAGTTTTCTAACTGACAGTGATTGGTCTCCATGGTTACCAAGAAGCTTCCTCGGATACTGGTTTGTTGTGTGTAGGTTGCTAGGATGCAGACCGGTTTGTTGTGGGTAGGTTGCTAGGATACGAACCGGTTTGTTGTGGGTAGGTTGCTAGGACACGAACCGATTTGTTGTGGGTAGGTTGCTAGGACACGAACCGGTTTGTTGTGTGTAGGTTGCTAGGATACGGACCAGTTAGTACAGTGAAATGGAAACACGACCAGGTAGAGTTCTTTTTTACTATAGTTCCCGCTCTCTCTGGGTCCAGGACTGGTCTGAAAAATAGATTTTACACTCTGTGGGACTTTACTGATTAAATAGTCAATAAATCAATTTAATTTTACTATAAACAATTCACCAGCTGTAGAGCGACTGACATTTCGACCAGTCACAAAAATAAATTCAGTTTTACATGTGAAAAGTATACAAAGTTTACAGGTATATTTCAGAAGGATCTAAATTTGGATGTGAGTTAAATGTTCCGTGGTTCCGTCTCAGAGAATAATGTTGTGGATTTGAAGGTGAGATTCCCGCGGCGTGCGTCTCTTTTGTACAGTTTGTAAAGGGCTCCTCTGTGTTTCCTGGAGCTTTCTGGTCTTCGCGGCTCCGTCTCAAACCTTCGGACCAGTTTAAGAAAATTGTGGATCTTTTGAAAACTCCGGGGCATTCCTCTGAGCAGATCTGTGCGGAGGTCAGCACTGGACACTGGCTGCTGTACAGAGACTCCAAGGACAATAAAATGGTGTTCTAGTCTGAAAAATGTCTGTTTTATTTGGGTTTTGGGCTGTTGACAGGGGTAAGATAATAATAATAATAATAATAATAATGCATTGGATTTACAAGTTGTTTTTTCAAGATTGTTTTAATGATAATCTACTGTAGCCAAAACTGCCCTGGGGCACACTGACAGATGCGAGGCAACCAGTCTGTGCCATCGGCCCCTCCCACCACCACCAACCATTCACACACACACCAGACTCATTCTAATGTGGGGGAAGTGTCTTGCCTAAGGACACAACCACAGTTTTGCACTTTACAGCCGCAGCCGCCCCACTGTGGCACCTGGTGTTCCCAGAGGTCTCCCATCACAGCACTGACCAGCAGGTGGTGCTGTGTTCCTACTTTACAGCAGCTGAGAAAGAATGATGTAATGTTTTTGTGATGCCTGGAATGTCACTTTGTAGCTTTAGTGTAAAACCCTCCAATTATGGACCACTTTAGATCAGGCATGTCCAAACTGCGGCCCGCGGACCAACTGTCACTAGCACCCTTCCCACAGCTGTTCTGTCAGGACCCTTTAGCACCAGCTTGGCCTGGATAGGACCAGGACCAAGAGGGACTAAAGAAGGGAGCATTTCCACTGGCCCTGTTTAACTGGTACTAATCACAGTAGAGTAGGGCTGGTGATGTAAAGGCCCAATGCTGACCACTCATACAGCCACTGGGTCACAAGAGAAAATATGCAAATATATATATACAAATCTACATCCAAACTTACATAATGCCCCATTTAGCTTATTGAAGTCACATGTTTAGTAGATAATGTAAGACAAAACACTTCTCTGTCCTGCTCCAGCTCTGTCATAGTAACTGGCTTTGTGGAATACTTAAACTTGAGATTGTTTTATGCCTCAACAACAAAAGACTGCGCCATTGACTAGCCTCCCTAACGACCAGTAGATGGCGCACTTTATCTGGAAAAATGACTACAATGAACGGCCTACATTTCTAACATCAACGTTAGATCTGTTTTTCATTCATTGAAACAAAGTCGAAGGTCTTTAGTTTGAGGCGTTCATCAACAACAGATTATTTTCATAAATCTGAGATGGGAACTAAATGTTTTTAACCACTTTTCATGTATTTTACTTAACTTTCCAAAGAGTCTGTAGTTTACCATCGTGAAGGAGACCACTCAGTTTAAAAAAAAAGATCTCTGGGAAAACATTTTACCGTTTTTATTTGTTGTATCAGTCACGCCCTCCGCCTGAAACACATTTCTACAACATGAATACAACCTTGAAAGAACCTGTGGAGAATTTACCTCTAATTTCAATACTTTGTTTAAAAGGCTCAGAGCAGGATTTGTCGTCATGGAAAGCGGCCCCACATGGTCCTGCTCTGCTCTCCCTGGTTGCTTTTCCATTGCCCTGGTACCTCATCATAGCTAGTTACCCACAAAAAAAACAGTATCCATGGACATTCATTGGTAACCATGTCTTCCAGCAGCACTCTGGCCAATCACTGTCAGAACACTTTAGTACCAGCTCGGCCTGGATAGAACCAGGACCAAGAGGGACTAAAGAAGGTACACTAGAGCTAGATTAGTGCTTTATCTCCTTTAGAAATGGGAGGTTGTGTCCTTTTGAATGTGCCGGAAGCGTCAGTAAGTCTTTCTGAAATAGTTTTGTGTTGTACAATTTTTATTTTTATTGCTTTTTTCTATCTGTAAATGTTGCTGCAGTATAATGTTTATGGTTTTACACTGATTCAGACCAGAACAGAGACGATGGTCCCAACCAAACAGATCAAGCAGATATCCACAGGACGAATGCTACGTCATAAATGCTAATAAAAACAGAATTTCACCCTGAACCAGAGCAGAGAAAATAATCCAGAGCAGAGGAAGCTGCTGCGGCTTCACTTGACTATTGTTGGTAACTTTTAAAATCATGTATATATTTGTTCGTCTTGTGACACGGAACATGGACGTGACGAACATGACCTCGTTCCTGAACTCTCACACATTCCACACGTCTGCGACACGTGACGTTTGTAAGATCAGGACGATCAGAGCCGGACTGGTTCTGTCAGCGCCGCCGTCAAACTGCTCCTGGACCGGATCCTCCAGAGTCACGGCTCAAACTCTGACTTTTCTAATGAGAAGAAGACCTGGTGTCGTTAAGAGTTAAGGGCAAGAGAAATGCATAGTAATGGAGTTCTTAAACAGGACAATAATAACCACACACTACTGACTGTAAAAATGTATATATTCATCGGCATTTTGTTTTTTTTATTCTTCAATATTTTAAGTGTTTTCCTTCATGTGAAAAATGCTTAATGTATCTAAATTTGAGCACATACTGACTGCCTTAAAACAAAATTTGCCAACAGGACCATGGGCAATAGCATCTTGTTTTAAAAAGATACAAGAAATATCTCCTTTGGAATGAGAAAATAAAGTTCAGCATGTGCACCCCACTTTACCCCGAGGGCAAAATGGTTTTCACCACGAACCTGCCACAGCCCCTCAGCCCCTCTGGCCACTTCAGCCACTCCCTGAGAGGCTGGCCTTTCCTCCCGTTAGTTGCAGGGTTGTAACAGGTGCTGGAGCAACCCACAGCTGAGTTCACGCTTCATCATCAGCAAAAGGATTGAAAAGCCGCTGCAAGTCAGTGCTACTGTTCTAGCGGGTTTTTTTACTACCTCAAGCTCTTGCATTTAAACCAGTTTTGTTTGCCTTACTTTCTAGTTCTCCAGCCACCTGCTATTCCTGCTCCGACCTACCCTGCCCCTGCTCCGATGAAGCAGGACGACCCTGCTCCGTCCTGCCCTGGCTCTGCTCTGTCCTGCCCTGGCTCTGCTCCGTCCTGCCCTGGCTCTGCTCTGTCCTGCCCTGGCTCTGCTCCGTCCTGCCCTGGCTCTGCTCTGTCCTGCCCTGGCTCTGCTCCGTCCTGCCCTGGCTCTGCTCTGTCCTGCCCTGGCTCTGCTCCGTCCTGCCCTGGCTCTGCTCTGTCCTGCCCTGGCTCTGCTCCGTCCTGCCCTGGCTCTGCTCTGTCTAGCTGCACTGGTCCTGCCCTGATCCAATAAATTTACCTCTGTGCTATTTCAGTGTCTGCTCATGAGTTCTTTGCTTTGATTCGTAACAGAACCCATCTTGCGAGAAGAGACCCAGGTTTTCTATTTTGTAAGAATAAATGTCTCGCAGATTGGTGCCAAGACAGAGTCTGCCAGATCATCCCAGCTTATACTTTTAGCTCGTCTTTATCTATTCCTCTGATCTTCTTGCATTAATGTGCTTATCTACAAAAGCACTCGTCGCATCCATGCTTCAGTATGTGCCGCTGTCTTATTGCCACTCAGCGATGGGCGCATGCGCACACGGGTGTAAACAAATATCCTCCTATACTAGATGAGTGAACTTGGGTTAGGGCAGTGGTTCCCAAAGTGGGGGGCGCAGGACAAATGAATGAATGAAAATACAGAAGGCTAAATTACTCTGCAGTTAGGACTGAGGTTTATATTCATTGCAATGTGTGAAATTATGGAAGCCCGTTTCCGCCGTTTCGAAATTATGACTTTAAAATTGTAATTATGAGTTGACAACTCAAAATTCCGTGTTTAAAAGTCAAAATTATGACTTTAAAACTCGAAATTACAAGTTTTAAACCGCGCATGTGCAGTTGCTGCCCCGTATGTGTTGTTGTCTGGAACGGTGTCTGGACACCCTTCACCTGCAGGTTATGTTGAAGATATTGCCCACAGTGACCACTGCATCCATGAAGTAGCAACAATAATGTTGGGGCAGTAATCGCGTTAAAATGTGAAGGTCTCTCCGTTTATGATTAGAATCTGCTCAAGGAGCCTCTATTTAATTTATCCTGAACGGACTGTGGAAGATTAATAATAAAACACATGCGGCTGAAGTGGTCTCATTCATTGAGCATCAACTGGTGACATCTGGTCAGTATCACGGCTATCGATGAATGCACCAGAAATGCACTGAATGTTATTGTGACAGACAGAGGCAGGAGAACCACAGACAGAGGTAGGAGAACCACAGACAGAGGCAGCAGAACCACAGACAGAGGCAGGTGAACCACAGACAGAGGCAGGAGAACCACAGACAGAGGCAGGAGAACCACAGACAGAGGCAGGTGAACCACAGACAGAGGCAGGAGAACCACAGACAGAGGCAGGTGAACCACAGACAGAGGCAGGTGAACCACAGACAGAGGCAGGAGAACCACAGACAGAGGCAGGTGAACCACAGACAGAGGCAGGAGAACCACAGACAGAGGCAGGTGAACCACAGACAGAGGCAGGAGAACCACAGACAAAGGCAGGAGAACCACAGACAGAGGCAGGTGAACCACAGACAGAGGCAGGTGAACCACAGACAGAGGCAGGAGAAACCACAGACAGAGGCAGGTGAACCACAGACAGAGGCAGGTGAACCACAGACAGAGGCAGCAGAACCACAGACAGAGGCAGCAGAACCACAGACAGAGGCAGGTGAACCACAGACAGAGGCAGGAGAACCACAGACAGAGGCAGGAGAACCACAGACAGAGGTAGGAGAACCACAGACAGAGGCAGCAGAACCACAGACAGAGGCAGGAGAACCACAGACAGGCAGGAGAACCACAGACAGAGGCAGGAGAACCACAGACAGAGGCAGGTGAACCACAGACAGAGGCAGGAGAACCACAGACAGAGGCAGGTGAACCACAGACAGAGGCAGGAGAACCACAGACAGAGGCAGGTGAACCACAGACAGAGGCAGGAGAACCACAGACAGAGGCAGGAGAACCACAGACAGAGGTAGGAGAACCACAGACAGAGGCAGCAGAACCACAGACAGAGGCAGGAGAACCACAGACAGAGGCAGGTGAACCACAGACAGAGGCAGGTGAACCACAGACAGAGGCAGGTGAATCACAGACAGAGGCAGGTGAACCACAGACAGAGGCAGGTGAACCACAGACAGGCAGGAGAACCACAGACAGAGGCAGGTGAACCACAGACAGAGGCAGGAGAACCACAGACAGAGGCAGGAGAACCACAGACAGAGGCAGGTGAACCACAGACAGAGGCAGCAGAACCACAGACAGAGGCAGGAGAACCACAGACAGAGGCAGGTGAACCACAGACAGAGGCAGGAGAACCACAGACAGAGGCAGGAGAACCACAGACAGAGGCAGCAGAACCACAGACAGAGGCAGCAGAACCACAGACAGAGGCAGGTGAAGCACAGACAGAGGCAGGTGAACCACAGACAGAGGCAGGAGAACCACAGACAGAGGCAGGTGAACCACAGAGAGAGGCAGGAGAACCACAGACAAAGAAAGGAGAACCACAGACAGAGGCAGCAGAACCACAGACAGAGGCAGCAGAACTACAGACAGAGGCAGGAGAAGCACAGACAGAGGCAGGTGAACCACAGACAGAGGCAGGAGAACCACAGACAGAGGCAGGTGAAGCACAGACAGAGGCAGGTGAACCACAGACAGAGGCAGGAGAAGCACAGACAGAGGCAGGTGAACCACAGACAGAGGCAGGAGAACCACAGACAGAGGCAGGTGAACCGCAGACAGAGGCAGGAGAAGCACAGACAGAGGCAGGAGAAGCACAGACAGAGGCAGGAGAACCACAGACAGAGGCAGGAGAACCACAGACAGAGGCAGCAGAACCACAGACAGAGGCAGGAGAACCACAGACAGAGGCAGCAGAACCACAGACAGAGGCAGGAGAACCACAGACAGAGGCAGGAGAAGCACACACAGAGGCAGGTGAACCGCAGACAGAGGCAGGAGAAGCACAGACAGAGGCAGGAGAAGCACAGACAAAGGCAGGTGAACCACAGACAGAGGCAGGAGAACCACAGACAGAGGCAGGAGAAGCACAGACAGAGGCAGGAGAAGCACAGACAGAGGCAGGAGAACCACAGACAGAGGCAGGAGAACCACAGACAGAGGCAGGTGAACCACAGACAGAGGCAGGTGAACCACAGACAGAGGCAGGTGAACCACAGACAGAGGCAGGTGAACCACAGACAGAGGCAGCAGAACCACAGACAGAGGCAGCAGAACCACAGACAGAGGCAGGTGAAGCACAGACAGAGGCAGGAGAACCACAGACAGAGGCAGGTGAACCACAGACAGAGGCAGGTGAACCACAGAGAGAGGCAGGAGAACCACAGACAAAGGCAGGTGAACCACAGACAGAGGCAGGAGAACCACAGACAGAGGCAGGTGAACCACAGACAGAGGCAGCAGAACCACAGACAGAGGCAGCAGAACCACAGACAGAGGCAGGAGAAGCACAGACAGAGGCAGGAGAACCACAGACAGAGGCAGGTGAAGCACAGACAGAGGCAGGAGAACCACAGACAGAGGCAGCAGAACCACAGACAGAGGCAGCAGAACCACAGACAGAGGCAGCAGAACCACAGACAGAGGCAGCAGAACCACATACAGAGGCAGCAGAAGCACAGACAGAGGCAGGTGAACCACAGACAGAGGCAGGTGAACCACAGACAGAGGCAGGAGAACCACAGACAGAGGCAGCAGAACCACAGACAGAGGCAGCAGAACCACAGACAGAGGCAGCAGAACCACAGACAGAGGCAGCAGAACCACAGACAGAGGCAGCAGAACCACAGACAGAGGCAGGAGAAGCACAGACAGAGGCAGGAGAACCACAGACAGAGGCAGGTGAAGCACAGACAGAGGCAGGTGAACCACAGACAGAGGCAGGTGAACCGCAGACAGAGGCAGGAGAAGCACAGACAGAGGCAGGAGAAGCACAGACAGAGGCAGGAGAAGCACAGACAGAGGCAGGAGAACCACAGACAGAGGCAGGAGAAGCACAGACAGAGGCAGGAGAAGCACAGACAGAGGCAGGAGAACCACAGACAGAGGCAGGAGAACCACAGACAGAGGCAGGAGAACCACAGACAGAGGCAGGAGAACCACAGACAGAGGCAGGAGGACCACAGACAGAGGCAGGTGAACCACAGACAGAGGCAGGTGAACCACAGACAGAGGCAGCAGAACCACAGACAGAGGCAGGAGAACCACAGACAGAGGCAGGTGAACCACAGACAGAGGCAGGAGAACCACAGACAGAGGCAGGAGAACCACAGACAGAGGCAGGAGAACCACAGACAGAGGCAGGAGAACCACAGACAGAGGCAGGAGAACCACAGACAGAGGCAGGTGAACCACAGACAGAGGCAGCAGAACCACAGACAGAGGCAGGAGAACCACAGACAGAGGCAGCAGAACCACAGACAGAGGCAGCAGAACCACAGACAGAGGCAGGAGAACCACCAGACAGAGGCAGGGCAGGAGAACCACAGACAGAGGCAGGTGAACCACAGACAGAGGCAGGAGAACTACAGACAGAGGCAGGAGAACTACAGACAGAGGCAGGTGAACCACAGACAGAGGCAGGAGAACCACAGACAGAGGCAGCAGAACCACAGACAGAGCAGCTGTCGTGGCTCTCTGTGCTCTAGAACCCATGACTGCCTGATGTAAGAGCAGTATTTAAATACTATCTGACTGCATAACCACGGAGAGCCCTAGAGCTCTTCTTCTTCTTCTCCTTCTCCTCCTTCTCCTTCTCCTCCTTCTTCCTCTTCTTCTCCTTCTCCTCCTTCTCCTTCTCCTCCTTCTTCCTCTTCTTCTCCTTCTTCTTCTCCTTCTCCTCCTTCTCCTCCTCCTTCTTCCTCTTCTTCTCCTTCTCCTTCTCCTCCTTCTCCTTCATTTCACAGTCACATTTGAAAGCGGAACAAAAACACTGTACGGAGGTTACTTTGTGTTGCCTTGTGTATGAAGTGTGCTATACAAATAACCTGTACTGACCTGTGAAAAAACACATTTCAATAATTCCTGTTTTTTTAGTCCAGGTCGACCACAGAAAGTCTCTCCTCCACACGGAGCAATAGGAACATTTTCAAACAACTTTATAAATGAAAGGTTTACCGTGACGTACAGTATGTACTGCACCAGAGTGAGTCGTTAGCATTTAGCCTAGCTTTAGCCATCTCCTTTGCCGCTAACGGAGCCCGTGGGGAGTAGGGCCACAATCTTTGCAGAGATTACATTTGTTAAACATTCCTCTTGCTCTGGCTTCAGTTTCTTGATAGAACCAGACCAGAATACTTTACTATCACATTCTTCCCCAAACTACAACCTGCCCGTTCGACGCAAACTCTTGACGTCACCTACAACTAACTACAACACCCGCCTCCCGCGCTCTCTGATTGGTCGACGTAATCACAAACACAGGCACCGGACCCTGTGATGATGGAGCGGAGTGTACGGATGGATACGGCCAGGCTAGCTTCAACCAGAACTGGGCCAAATATAAAGAAGAGATGTATTGACGGCTGATAGTTAAATATGAAAAAATATTTTAAAAAACCTCTGATTACGTGAACATTTTAGAACATATGCAGTTAATTGTTTTCCAGAGAATACAAGCTTTAAAATGAATTATAACAAGCCATAGTATCTCGTTACCTTCAATGCTGCAAGTTACTGTGATAATGATCATAGAAAATCATATCAGGGGCGGTTAAGAATGGTCTTACGGCCAAATGTGGTCCACGGGCCTGAGTTTGACCTGCCTGGTGTTTCCAGTGAACACACCTCGGCAAACACACTTTAGGTCGCAAGGCGGGTTGAATGCCGAGTCGTTTTGACACACCAGCCCAGGTCTCTAAGGTTTTTGATGTTTTTGCTCAGCAGGAATGAGGCTTTCTCGTAGATTTTTTTAAATATTGTAAACCATGAAGCACATTCTCACTCAGACCTAGCTTATGTCCGCGTTTAGGAATTAAGAAATGCGGTCCATAGTCCAGCGCGGATCAAATCATTAATAAACCAAAGCTGTTTTTATACAAAGTTAAACCTGCTCAACGTCTAACTGTAAAGGTTTAATGTCTGACCCGAGACCCAGGAAACTTTAGTCTGGATGGAAAGAAATAGAACCCAAAATGTCCATTATCCACAATCGTATTTTAGGTGGACTCATGCGACAGAAATAAAAACGCACCACACACAGTGTCCAAAATCTCATTAACCGTCCAACCACCAACCTCTCCTGAGTCTATATTTACCGTCTGTCTGTCTGTCTGTGTATTCTGTCTACAGTATATCTATCCGTCTATCCGTCTATCTATCTCTCTCTCTCTCCAATCCACCAGTGTATGCAGACTCTGTGGACGAGGCAGTTAAAGTGTCTTGCCCAAGGACACACAGCAACTACCACCAACGGGAGCTGGTTATGGATCCATCTAACCCAGGGGTCTCCAACCTGTGGCTCGGGAGCTATAGTAGCTCGCCAGCCCCTATCAATAGCTCCCCAAAGGATTTAAAATTCAACACATGGTCTCGAAAGAATACATTTTGAGGGATTATGACACATACGGTTGTAAAGTATTATGGGATATTTTAACATGACTTCTCCATGTTTTGACATAATTAACACATGGGTTTTTATTACGACTGAAAAAAGGAGTAGGTCTCTGCTGCTGTAGAAGTAGCTCTCTGATTGAAACGGCTGGAGACCCCTGATCTATCCGCTCAACCTGCGTTTATGTCAGGAGCAGGACTCGAACCAGCAACCTTCAGCTCAGCTCAGAGGACACACGCTCTGCCTCTTCCTCGGCCTCCGTCAATCCGCATTTTTCGAGCACGCACAAATACGTCATGTTTTGGTTCTGATTACTTTGATGGTTCTGTTGGGATTCGTTTCGTAACATTCAGTAAAGGGCACGTATGTATTATTTATCATAACAAATATCACAACCTTTTTTTAATTATTACTCAGACTGACATTTGGTGTGGCTATGATTACTATTATTATTATTATTATTATTATCATTATCATTTATATTATTTATTACATGTATTTATTTATTCATTATTATTATTATTAATATCATATTTTTTATTATTATGTATTATATTTATTTATTTATTTATTCATTATTAATTTTATTTTTATCATCATTTGTATTATTATTTATTATATGTATTTATTAATTATTATTATTGTTATTATTTTCATTATTATCATGAGCCACGGTCTGCACTGACGCGTCTCTGATCTGTAAATTACGTCACTTGTGCAAAACCCACAATCACACGTTTTATTCTTGTATCTGTGTTTTCAGTTTCTTACATTTGCAGACTAAATGAATCTCTGTCACACGTTGCGTTTATAAAAATGTCCATCACAGACACGGCCTTTACGCGCTGCAGAAATGAACCGTCAAAACACGTTTTTATCATTGTTTATTTTTGTCTGTGAGATTTTGTTCTGATGGAATTGATATTTTTAGAGACGAAGAGAAACCTCCCGGACTCAGGTTGAATCTGAATCAGAAAAACGCGACATCGTTCGTATCTCTTCCTAAATCCTTTTTCAGCTTGATGCCGTTTTTAAAATGTTTTTCCAAACGCGTTGAGAGCTGCTGTGTCTTTACGAACAAAAATATAAGACGTTTATTTGTTCTTATTTTAACAATTAACGTTTATTTAGAGCGATTTTCTCCTCAAAGTGCTTCCTCAGCCTCTCACATGAGCCGTACATCGGATTCAATCAAGGAATTAAAATCATAAATGACAATATTAATTACAATCAACACAATCAGGCTGTTGAAATAATTGATAATATTAATGCATAAAATGATCTAATTTACTATAATGCAAGTGATTGTATTCTATTTATTTATCATTATTATTATTATTATTATTATTATTATTATTATTATTATTATTATTATTATTGTTATCAGTGTTTTAAATGAATATTATCACTTTTATGTTGTATTTATCACAGGTGGTAATAATTCCGGATTGTGCCCAAATGTACAAAGAACAAAGAAGTGTCTGATATTTCTTATATATATATATATATATTACACATATACATGGTTTGTTTGAGTAAAGGGACAGATACAGAGAAAACACAAACAGTTCTAGTCAAAGTTAATTCGCACTTGTCGCTAGAATTTGACAGAAGAGACTGAGCAGAGACGGAATAAAGTCCTGTTTGTCCGAGACACATTTCTCTCTCAGAGGACGATACAAACTCATGTGATCATCTAATCTAATGTAATTATCGTGAGGTTAATTGTTATTATAACCATTATTATTGTTGTTATAGAGATTCTTCCATCAGAGCTTCTGTCAAATGAATGAATAAACCCACACGCGCTGCAGCTCCGTCACTCCGTCAGCTCCTTCGGGTCACAGCTGCACTGATAATAATTGTCCTGATTAAATATTGTCTCCGTGGATCACTTGAAAAAGTATCTTACATCCATCCGTATTTAATGTTTTAAGTCAAATTATCGAAACATATATGTGATTTTATCTTATCTTTGAGAGACCGGAGAAAGGGGAACCATGCAGAGAGAGACCAGAGTGAGACCAGAGAGAGAGAGACCAGAGAGAGACCAGAGAGAGAGAGAGAGAGAGACCAGAGAGAGACCAGAGAAAGAGAGACCAGAGAGAGAGACCAGAGAGAGACCAGAGAGAGACCAGAGAGAGACCAGAGAGAGAGACCAGAGAGAGACCAGAGAGAGACCAGAGATAGACTAGAGAGATAGACTAGAGAGAGAGACCAGAGAGAGAGACCAGAGATAGAGAGAGAGACCAGAGAGAGACCAGAGATAGACTAGAGAGAGAGACCAGAGAGAGAGACCAGAGAGAGAGACCAGAGAGAGACTAGAGAGAGACCAGAGAGAGAGACCAGAGAGAGAGAGAGAGAGAGACTAGAGAGAGACCAGAGATAGACTAGAGAGAGAGACCAGAGAGAGAGACCAGGGAGAGACTCACAATCACTCAGGCAATTTGAGTATGTAAAAAGATTGATTGTACTTTGTTTTTAACCCATTAGCTTGGAACTTAAAGATACAAGATTCAGTGCGTAAAGATAGGGCTTTACAAGTTTACAAAGGCGCGTGCGTCATTCTTTTGTTTTTTCCATTGTCATTCTATTTTTATATTTTTATACTATTGTGATAAACTACTACAGCGCACACATGCATCCCCTTTGCTCTAAACTCGTTCCAAGTCGTTGTAAACGGGCCTCTGCTGTGCCCAGTCCTGGACCTGGTCTCCCGGTGGTCCGCGTCGGTCTCCCCGCGGCGCTGAGGGGCCTCTTTACACACGCACCTATATCCACCACGTGTGCGGCCTGTGGCACACGTCTGGATGTGGTTAAGACGTGATGTGGTCAAACAGACATGCGCAGTGTAAGTGTGGATGGATGCACGCGCGGAAGGCAGGTGCGCCGCGTGCGTGATGTCCAAATGACGCAAGTCTGTGGCCTATGGGAATCTGTGTTAATAATCACTGTGTGGGTCTGGCTTTGATGAAAAAGAGAGGGGGGGGGGGGGGGGGGGGACTGTTACATTGATATGACGTCATACATGTGTATTTTCAGTGTGTGGCATTTTCCATTTGTTTAATTTAACGAGAGAAATCCCACTGATGGCGTTTCGTCACAAAGGAAGCAACTCCGAACTGTACAGAGCAAAATGAAATGTGTGTGTTTTATTCTGAGTTTTATTCTGAGTGAGAGAGAGAATTGGTCATTTCTTTATTCAGACTCAAAGCTCAGGATCAGCGTCAATGAGGGCGAAATTAAAGTATTTTATAATTTAACTATTGTACAAAGTTCTTAAGAGCATGCAAATACTTCTTCTCTATCTACCTCCAAATTCCCAAAGCAGTAAATTTGACTGCTCT